AGATGGCAAGAATGCTTTTCTACCCCAAGATTGTAGGCCTAAGAGATCTTTTCGACCCAAAAGACCTTCAGATCACTCTTCCTTTCGGGACTTCAAATGCTACAGACCAGGTAGAGAATACGGAAGATCCTAGCCTTGGAGAGGGGGACAGTCTTCAGTCAGGGGAGGAAGATCCAGAGGCTCTGCATTCAGCAGGAACACGAGAGCTTTATGACGGGTTGATCTCCCAGCCTGGAGGGGTAGGAGCACACCTCCTCCTATTCAAAAAGAGATGGGGGTCTTCTACTAAAGACAAGTGGGTGCTGGCCATCATCAAAAGAGGATATCTTCTGGAATTCAGAGATGCCCCACCTCGTCGCAGTTTTCAAATTACAAGATGTCCGGGAGAGAGAGACAAGAGATTGGCTCTTCTGGAGTTTATTTCTTCCCTACAGCAAGAAGGCATCATTATGGAGGTTCCAAAGGAGGAAAGAACACACAGGTTTTATTCTAACCTATTCCTCACAAGGATGTCCTCACAAGGAGACCCATTATAGATATTCACACTCTCAACAAGCGATTGAAGGTAAGAAGATTCAAAATGGAGTCGCTTCAGTCCATCATCAAAGCAGTCTTCCCAGGGTAATGGATGATGTCTGTAGATCTGCAAGATGCCTACTTCCATGTTCCAATCACTCAACTGCTTCAAAGATATCTGAGATTCGCAGTAGAAGGAGGGCACTTTCAGTTCCGAGCCCTTCCCTTTGGCCTCAGTACAGCTCCTCGCACTTTCTCAATGATCCTAGTGATCCTGATGGCAGAATTAAGAAAGAGGGGCATTGCCATTTTTCATTATCTTGACGACATCCTGGTGCTGTCAGAGGACAGGTACACTCTCAAGCAACATGGACAGATCTGCATTCAGTTCCTGCAGGAACACGGCTGGAAGATAAATGGGGAAAAGAGTCACCTTATTCCTTCACAGTCCATGCTTTATCTAGGAGCTCTGTTCAACACTGAACTGGGGACAGTTCAGCTCTCAAGAGAAAGAGGAGTAAAGCTCATCAGGAAGGTGAAGGAGATACAAGTCAAGGTCACCACGGCAGAGAAAGTCATGAGCCTACTAGGATCCATGTCATCAACCATAGGCTTGACAAGATGGGCGCAATGGAGAATGAGAACACTCCAGAGGAATTTTCTTTCCCAATACAGAGGGAAGAATCTACTCCAGCCCATCAGGATTTCCACCCCGGTGCAGCTAAGCCTGACATGATGGATGAACATGAAGGCTCTGTTCTCAGGGTTCCCCCTGGGGAACATTCCCTGGATTACTATAATGACAGACGCCAGTCACTGGGGTTGGGGAGCCTACCTTCAGAACGAGGTCACCCAGGGGAAGTGGGAGTTTCATGCACATGAGAGCCACTCAAACCTTTGAAACTTCTGGTGGTTTTCAGAGCACTAAAACACTTTCAGCATTTACTACAGCACAAGGGGGTGAAGGTGAGAATGGACAATGCTACAGTAGTAGCACATATCAATCATCAAGGAGGTACCCGAAGTCACAGTATGGTAAGGTTGATGATTCCCCTGATGTCTTGGGCACAGAAGAACCTTGCAGGGCTAGTGGCGATTCATCTACCCGAAGTGCAGAATACGGTAGCAGACTTCCTCAGCAGGGTAAGAATAGACCCAGGAGAGTGGAGCCTCTCAGACGAAGTCTTCAAGGATGTTGTGAAGAAATGGGGTCTTCCTCAGATAGACATAATGGCCACCAACAACAACAAGAAGCTCCAGGGATTCTTCTCGAGGGGTCACGAACTGCAGGAGAGGGATGCCCTATCATGCAGATGGGAGTTCACAAAGGGGTATGCATTTCCTCCGACTCCCCTCATATTTCCTCTACTAAGAAGGATTCGGCAGGAACCAGTTTTCATGAACCTAATTGCCCCATACTGGCCTCGCCAGCCTTGGTTCCCTCTTCTTCTGAGCCTCTGTCAGGAACCTCCATGGGATCTTCCAGCAGTTCCTTCTCTTCTGCACCAGGGTCCTAGCCTACACCCAGACCCAGCATCACTCAACCTGAAGGCCTGGAGGTTGAAAGGGAAAGGCTTCTCAAGAAGGGTTTCTCGGCTGCAGTCACAGATACCCTGTTACAGGCTCGGAAGCGGTCCACTTCCTACACCTACCATAAAATTTGGGACACATTTTCTTCCTGGGCCTCTCCTAAGCAGGTTAACATACAGCATCCTTCTATTAAAGACATCTCGGAATTTCTACAAACAGGTCTGTTAAGGGTTTGAGCTACAATACCTTAAAGGTACATGTCTCTGCTCTTTCAGCTCTCACTGACCACAAATGGGCTTTTAATCCAGATGTATCCAGGTTTCTTGTTCCAGTCCTCAAGATTAAACCTTCGATCAAGCCATTTGCTCCCCCATGGGATCTACCCCTGGTATTACAAGCCATGAAGTCAGTTCCCTTCGAACCCTTGGAGTCCGTCTCTCCTCATCTTCTTACCATCAAGACCGTTTTGCTGGTGGCGTTAGCATCAGGGAGAAGGGTTTCAGTGCCTTATCAGTCAAAGAGCCTTTCATGGTGTTTCACAGAGACAGGGTGATTCTAAGAACCATTCCCGAATTTCGCCCTAAGGTAACCATGGCCTTTCATGTGAATGAAGACATAGTGCTTCCAGCCCTGACACAAGAAGAACATTCCCAAGAAGGAGGTTCTTCTCCGCTGGATTTGGTAAGATGTTTAAGAATCTATATTGACAGATCTCTCGGCTGGCATTCGTCGGATCAGTTATTCATCATCCCGAATGGGGCTAGGAAAGGTCGCCAAGCTTCTAAAGAGGCCATGAGCAGATGGATTGTCTCCGCTATCATTCAGGCTTACCGGGCCAGTGGGGTTCCAGCACCTAGCGGTCTAAAGGCTCACTCAACCAAGTCCCTTTCCTCCTCTTGGGCAGCCGCAGCGAGAGTATCTCCAGAGCTTATCTGCAGAGCAGCTACATGGTCTTCAGTGAACACATTTATTCGACATTATCAAATATATGTCAGAGCTGGTCAATGGGACAAGTTTGGTAAAAGTGTCCTTTCCGCATACAACTAATGTCTTTCTTTTTGTATGATTTCACTTATAGATGCGCTAATACACTTGCATTACGAAATATTTTGAATCCGTGTATTCTTTTCCCTCCCTTGGTTTTGCTTGGGTATTACCCATTGTTGTGCTGCCATGGATATGGCCAGGAAAGAGAAAAATTTATTTAAACTTACCGTAATTTTCTTTTCCTGGTCATAGGCCATGGCAGCAGAAAGATCCAGCCCAGGGGTAGGAGGGGGTACTTATACCCTTGTTTTAATTAGTTCCTGTCTAACTAGGGATGGGGAGGAGCTACCCATTGTTGTGCTGCCATGGCCTATGACCAGGAAAAGAAAATTACAGTAAGTATGAATAAATTTTCCTCTATATATATCACAAACATTTTTTTAATATTATTAGCAGCACTAACAAGTGTCAGTATTAAAAGTTGAAACATATTTTATAATTAATAACTAACTGTCACCTTTTATTTCATTTTCATAAACATTTTAATTGACTATACATACTAGCTATTTAAATATGTGCTAAATGATATGTCAATAACATAATAATAATAATAATATTTATAATAATAAATAGGAAATATATACAAATATTGTATAAATGACATCTTAAATTAATTTAGATTTTAAAAAGCATTTTAATATTATTTTTTTCCTTTTTGCACCAATAAATTAATATTTTAGTCAAGTAACATTTAAACAATAAATTGAATACACACTTTACGCACATTATTTTATTTTGTTTCAGTTCACAAAAAAAGAGTACTTAAAACTTCCATAATCTTCCATTTAAGCAGTGATAGAGAAATATCAGAAAAAAACAAACATTTTTTTATACAAAGTTGACAGGACATACACACCCTGTTTATATGTTTATGCCTGTAAAATTTGACTTGCATAAAGCAAGCATGTATATGTATATACATATACATATATATGTACATTTAGACATTTTAAATATTACCGTACAAAAATATTTATATCCAAATACCAAATGTATTTAAACAATCCAGTAATTTATCTTACCTATTTAAACTCACACCAAAGCATATTCAGTTTTAAATTTCTTAACAGAGTACACATTGTGCTTTCACATATCTCAAGCTATACTGTGCTAGTATACATTTTACAGAACTGTAGTGAATTAGTGCTTTTATTTAATAAATAATGTAAGGATATTCTGGTGAGTTTCTTGCCTACTTCTATGAAACATATAGCCTTTTTAAAATTTGTATGGATAATATTTTTTTGTTAAGGCAATTATAGAAGTACTTAAACTATAAAAGAATATTGCTTATGTGCATCATATGCATTTTGTGAATACATGATACCATGTTAAAGAGACATATATATATATATATATATATATATATATATATATATATATATATAACCCACATATCAAAACATATACAACTCCTTCAACTGCCAAAAAATGGTTATGTATCATGTGAAGCCATATACATACAAGATTTCACAAGACTTCTCTGAAATGTAAAACAATAATTATGTGAAAAAAATACCATACTTTAATATGAAAAATACCATAATCTTTTTTTATTCTATATAATATTTTCTTAATATTTCTATACAATTATTTCCTTATTTGTGACTTTATTTAAGCAGGAGGAAGATAAATGACAATATCCTCTATAACCAGCTGGCACACTTTTAAATTATATTTTAAAAACAATTAATCTTCTCAGGGAAAATGTTCAGTTTAAGCATAAAATATCTTATTTAAATATTGAAATCTTTAGATAAACTTATTTAAAAATATATTTTCAATTATTCTGGAATTTAATATTTGGGGAAAATCATTATGGAAAATGTAAAAAATGACCAAAATGCCATTAGTTACTTTAACATCTATATTGTTAACTTTTTAGTTTTCCCTAAGGAACTAAATTGAATGAATTGTGGAACACATCTTAAAATAAAATATATCCCATTTTAAATAAATATCTTTGGATTTTTGGAGATCATTTCATTTTGACATCTACAGTACTTCAGTTCACTTCAATTCTTTCAATAAAGCATTGAATCATAAAGTCTGACTTGTATCCGTGATGGTGAGTTTATTGTTCGTTATATCAGAAACTACGTGTAGAACTTTGGAAAAATACTAAATGTATAATGGCAAAGATCTTTGGCTTTATGAAGTACTCTATGCCAGATCTCTCATAGTGATTATTTTTAGCTTAATTTAATCAAGACAGAATGGTAAATAGCACCCAAGGTGTAATTTTAGGAGAACATGCTAGCAAAGGCTGAATTATGTTTTACCATGGTAGGTAAATTCATTGTTATGCACACTAGGAAAAGTAAGAAAAATATTCTGCATAGTAATATTATCAGTGGCTTCAAGTAAGATGCAGAGATAGTAACATACCAAGTGTGATAGTTTGAGAATGACTATCTAGTTACATCATATATTTTCACCAAATGCATTTTCCCATGATAGTATCTATAATTTTTTTTTTTTATTAGGATTGCTTCAGTAACTGAATATCAGTTGAAATGCATGCGATCTTTCCATTAGTAGCTTCATTTACTTGACTGCATTGCTGTTTATCCTGCAGATAAAAATAGAATATATGGTATTCTGTGGATTTGGGATATAAATTAATGCATTTTATTTATCAGTGTATTGATACAGTCCTCCTGATTTCTTCTTGAAGCTAACAGTAGGTTATTTAAATCTTATTATGCACATACCAGACAAGATGTACTATGCAATATCAGAAATGGTACACAATTAGGTATATATCTTTACATACATAATCCTTTCTGCACTAGAAAGAATAATATATAGGGTAAACCTTCACAAAAGAGCCAATCATTTCTGCCATACATCACTTGGGTCTTAAATATTATCTATAAAAGAAATACCTGTTTAATTTAAAGGGAAAACATGGGTTAAATTGTAGCTTTGGCATTAATAGATGTTCTTGGGATGACAAATCTAAGAATAACTTGGGTTGATCTTAATTAAATTGTTCATCAACTGTGAAAAACTCACATTGTATGTAAATATGGGAAGATTAAAGATAAAATTAAAATGTTACAATTTTCAAATCAGAAAAAAAACATAAAAAATGTTAAATACACACATGCATCCTGCAATCACCATTCATCCATACATTCATAAAATCTAATAAAACATTATTGTCACCAATGTGTAATCCTTTTCTGATTTAGATTTTCTCAACTGAATCTTTCAATATATTTTTTAACCAAGAAGAAAAAAGTAATTTTTCATATTCCATTGTATAATACATCTGGCACACATTTTTTTGGCACAGTTTGCATTATATCATAGTGATATTCATAATAACCATAATAACTATTCCCAACATAGATACAGTTTTACATCATACATTGGGGGTAGGCTACCTTTGGCACTCCAGATCCTTTGGACTACGTCTCCCCTGATGTTTTGCCAGCATTATGGCTGTAAGAGAATTATGGGAGAGGTAGTCCACAACATCTAGAGTGTCAATGGATTCCAATCCCTGTCATACATATACATAAAACCCTTAGCTTGTCTAATTTTGCAGTGTGAATTGTCTCTTGTTGTCTTTATGGAGTGCTCTTTTAATCAAATATTTAAACATTTAATAAAATGTTGCAAGATGTTAAGCCCTATTAGTAGCTATCAAAACGTTATCTGAAGACCTTCTGATCAATATCGCAATGTCACATAAACGTGATTTAGTTACAGGTATGGAAATTCAAACATGGTTATAAAATCTACAGGCTACTAAAATAAAAATATATTTAAAATTTTCTTGAACGATTCAAAGCAAGAACTTACAGATTGATACATAACTTGACATTTGAATACAAATGTACAGAGATTTGTACAAATGTGGCATTTAAATCCTGTACAGAGATTTGCAATAATGCTAGTATCAATGTAATAATTTAATATAATAGTTTAAAAAGAACCCAATCTAGATCACCATAGTATGAGTCAGGTAGACTCCAGCAATCACAAAATATATGGACCCACGACTATAGCAAACCATCTGCTCAACAGTTTCTAAGTTAAAAGCGTATTGGTCATCCCAGAAGAGTGCTAATTCCAATGATCTCTCCAGTTACATCATTTTCCAAAGATTGTAGATCATCAGATATTATAAGCGCACTACTAGATGTGCTTGTGACCAGTTCATTCCAGTTCCATTAGCTAATAATGAAATTATATTGAATCAAATTGAATTCAATTATATTGAATACAAATATATTCACTCTATCTTAATTAAGGATGCAACAAAAAAGATGTTTAGCCTAAACCTGTACCTTGAATCTTGAAAAAAAAGAATGACTGTAATATCATGTATTCAAGATTAGTCAAATAAATATCATTCTAGTTGATATATAACTAGTACATATAAGTATTAAAATGAATAACCTATAGGATATGTTGTTTTTCACTTTAGAGTTTAACCTTTTAAATCTTCCTTCAAGCAAGGGGCAAAAAATACACTCAGGAATGCAAACTGCTTTATGTACCTTCATAAAATACATATGTTGTTGGTTTTTTTTCACCTGGTCCATTCTGCATATCTCTCTGCACAGAATTATCAGTCTTTAATTATCAACTTGAATCTAACATAGCTGACATAAATGGTTTTCCGATTGCAGTTATTCTAATCCTCTAAGAAAGTCTAAGAGAACTGAGTGCACAATGTAAAATATATAACTTGCTCAAATATCAGCAAAATATGTGTAACTGATAATTGGTGCATTTTTGCAATATAGCTGTTTAACACTTTTTAGCAAAGTGAAATCCATATATTCTGCATTCTTATATATCTCTCAGATGTCGTCCATGTGCACAATTTTGATAGCATATGTTTTGTATACCATTTTGTCCCATGACCTTTTTATATTTAATATATGTTTTAGCACATGGTTTAAAACAATGAGTGCAAGAATGGTCGATCAAATTATAGGACATCATTTAGCATTTTAGATCATCTATGCAGACAAAAAATTGAATTGGCAGGCACAGAAAACATTTTTAAACTGGACAACCATCCAAAATGCTTTTTTGAGAAATTCTGTGTTCTTAGGTGGAGATATATCAAGACTATTCTTGCCAAGATATGTATTCTGGATTAAAACACTTAAAAATGCTGTTAAGGGTTAGACCACAGATGTTCCTGTCTAGCTCAAAAACAGCACTCCTACAGCTAGAGAGTGACTTGCACCGTACGAACAAGCAAGTGTTTGAATGGCTGAATGTGGAAGCAATGCCTCACCAAATTGCATCAGAAGAATGGTTCCAAACATTTATCTGAAAATGAAAGTACAAGCTAAGTTTACAGTGGCTGCTTAAACGCACTGTATCTAGTGCAATAATCCATAGTGCTTATGGCACTTGGAATATTCTTTTAAAGTTAGATCTTTATTATTGTACATTAAATGTCATATTATATGAGCCTACAAGGTTTCATTAGTCATCAAAATCAATGTTTCTATGTTCCTGCTACCCTACGCTATGCTTCCGCTAATACATTATATTCCATTTCCAGAAGGTTTTGGCAAGATGTTCTTACAGAGCATTACTTAACAGTCAAGATTATAGGCATACTATAAATAATACATGTAGTTAATACTTGAAAGAACCCATGCTTACCTCCAGACATCATAATATTTAAAGACATAGCTTAAATGTCTATCCTTGGAGTCATGCTATGAATGCAGTCATATTATATTCCATCAGCTAATTAGTTTATGTATTTATTTTAATAATTAGCAGGTGTCAATTTTATCCATTTGTGTCATTTCTAGACATGACCAGTTCATGTGTGTGGTGTTTTGCTTCTAACAATGGTAAATGCTTATTTAAAATGATTTCCTGAGTGTTCAGATAAAAATATTTGAAACAGGTCAAGTACATTTTTTATGCATAGAATCTCCTAAGTTCCCCACCCTCTTTTAAATACTAGTACAACATAGCTAACAAAACCACTTTGTGGTCACAAGTATTTACATACACTGACATTTCTTAATGCTACACATTTTTTTATACTGTAACAAAACTGCTGTTATGACTGGGGGCTGAGATTATCAGTCTGTCCAACACTACAACCATTCAAGAAATATGGGTAGGTAACAGATTAATTTAAATCTATCCCTTTAAAAATTTTGTTTGGTTTTGACAAATGTCAAAAGCCTTCCATTCCATAACACAATTTCCTGCTATGAATTTTGATAATGTAGCATTATCCTTATCAACACTACTGTTAAGAACAACTTGTCCACTGTTTGGCACCCTAAGGAAATAATAGGGATTGGCCACTATTAGATATGTTATCAATATCAATTGTTTCCAAATATTGAGGGTTATTTACTAAAGTGAATTTCAAATATAATACCAGAGTAGCTAAACTAACAGCATAGCTAACTTAGAGAACTTTTCAGTTTGGCAATTATGACCTTAAATTTTAAATTCACTTTGAATTCACTTTAATGAACACCACTGATTATCAATCAAACCAGAATCAATAGTGCTGGAATATTCAATATCAAGCCGATAACAAATAATTTACCCTACAGACTGGAAAGGAAGAAATTCGTTCAAACCAAGACCTGCTTATAGATCAAAACTGGGCAATTAAAGAACTTACAGACAAGTAAATATAACTTTTGATTATTTTTTAAATAGCTCCCTCATCGGGCTGAACAGTAACTATTTAACCTAGATGTTCTTTGATTTTCATACATTATAGCAGTACTTTAATACCCTATGGTTGACTACTACTGTCGCCAAGCTGTGGTTATAACAATTTAAGGGAAGGCTAAAATCAGCAAAGTCTTCTGTTTGGAAGTAGACCATGTAAGTGGCTGCAAAGAACTGGTATTAGTAGCCCCATGCATTCAATATTTTGGGGAGCTATTTTTTACAGTTTTAGCATTTTGCTAATCAGAATGGTTATGAGCCCAAACAAACTTTGGTGACATATATCAATCTTAAAGCAAAACAAAGATGAAGTATTTATTCCCATGGTCATACAACTGCGGGATGCAAACTTTATGGCAACAGAAATTGTAAGAAGGCACAATGACCTGTCCAAAAAAGAGGGTGCTATCCTATAAAGTACTCCCTATACAAATACAAATCAATATACTAAGAACGCACATTAAATTGCATTACAATAAAAAATGACCTGTATTTCAAATTACATTATAAAAAAGAAATGTCAATATCAAATGACAAAGGATTTAAGATAACATATAATAGAGCAGACATTATATAAAAAAGAATAAATAAAGAGCAGAACACAATGGCACAATGAAATTCTTGATGTTTCGGCATGAAAATGCCTTTGCCAAGGGATCAGTGAGAAGGGCATTTTAATGTTGAAACTTTGAGATAGGTTCCTTGATATTGTGTGCTGCTCTTTACTAGTCTTTGGTAACTAATGTGTGCTGTATTAAGTTTTAATGTATAGCTTATGTCACTTGATATTTCTATGTCTTTTTACAAGATAATTTGACATGTACGTCATTTTTATTGCAATGCTATTTGGTTTGCGTCTTTAGTATATTGAGTTATGCAAGTGTTATGGGTTAACTATATCTGACTTTATCTGACTTCTAAGTTTGTTTCTTTTATTCTGTTAATTTAAAACAAGTTCCAGCTCTCCGTCACTAGTGGCCTCCCTAACCACTAATATTGGCTTCAATCCTGAATCATTCCTCACCTGCCTGGACTAATTACATAAGGCTACACCCTGCTCACAAAAGGGCCTTTACAATGAAGTTAATGCTCATCCTGAAAGACTTCAGTTCCTGGCTCCTGTAATAGTTCCTATGGACTTACCTTCTCTGCTACTTTCCTACTGGAAACAAACCTGATCTTCATTATCTACCTTTTGTTACAGACCTGCTCCATTACCAACCTGAACTGCTTTACAACCCTGTTTTATCCTGCCAACCAGCTTTATACCAACCTGCTCCAAACCAGCCTACCGATGCTACTAACCTGCTATATCCTGTCATCCTGATTTATACCAACCTGCATAACACCAATCTGGACTTTGCCTCTAATATTGCAAGGTGTTATTTTCATACTCTCTCAGTACTCCTTCCAAGATGGTGCTGATTCACCAAAGTTCTGCTTTACCTATAATCCTGAAACCTTATTGTTCTGTTTTACTTGTCTTACTATTTAACCTATATTTCCATCTATAACTTTCTTATTATTTGCAAACATCCTGTCTATAATCTATATAGGGCATATTGCCTAGATGTCTGTTTCTATCAGTCCCCCTTTGCCTATAATTTTATTTATAACTTCTCCTATTTTCTTGCTCCCTACAAATTCATTTATAGAATTTCCTGTTTCTTTATTATCTCCAAAGTCACCAATAAAGCCTCTAATGTTAACTCTGGCCAAAGTCTCCTATCCGACCTGCTCAAGATCATGACAGACTTATATAAACGAGCACGTTAGCTGAAAAGCTGAAACATTAAAGAATGATCATTAAGATGCTTTGTTTAAATCATCTCCAGGATTATCTGTTGTTGTTAAAAAAAAAAAAAAAAAACCTTTAAATATAGAAAACAAATATTTTGAATTAATGATGTAGATATCAATGTCATATATATTGGTGTCCTGTCTAAATTCCATAATGTTCGTGCTGTTAATGGACTTCATATTTGGACTTCATAAGTGAACAACAGATTGGTGAAGCACCAATGATATGAACAAGCTTGGAACTATTGAAGACACTATAAAAAATGTATATACCATGTTTATTGTTTTTTTCTTTACTAGCCTATTTTCTAGTCATGTTAAATTAAATAAATATCACCCATACATTATTATTATTATTATTATTAATACTACTACTATTATTATTTATGGTGGCTTTATTTTATTCCTGAATAGTCTTATTTACTCTCTTCCAAAGTGGGACTCATTAAACATTACTAAATCATTCTTAAATGAAGTGTTAAAACCTAGGTTATATATTCAGTCTTTATGGTTTTGGTTCAAAGTATTTAAGAAATCAGATCATTACTACTTTTGTAGGATGCTGGAAAATATATAAAACCAGTCAAAAACAATGTGTTACCTAGGCACATAATTAGAAAATTATGTTTCAAAGAATACCAACATAATGTAATGTATTTAATAAAGATTAATTGGTTTTCTGACAAGAAAAAATAATAAAAAATAATGGTTCAAAAAATAATTATATAGACCGATGATAGATAAATAGATAACTTTTGATATGTGTTTCAGTTTAGATTTATTTGAGAATCCTGTTGCTTTCTATGCATTTCATTTCCTTGAACTTCTCTTGTTATGTAATTACATATTATTAATGTCTACCTATTTTACTATCTATATTTTTGATGAGATTAGATTCTTATAATCATTGCAATAATATATAATGTATGCATTTTCACCCATTATTTGTAGTAGTAAACAACCATAATGCACCTTTAAGACATAGAAGCATATTTTAAAAATAAACATGTTCTTTATTCAATAAAATGAGTTTAACATTTTAGGTCTGATCATTTTATAAACAAGAAATCTGTTGGAAAGGCGTATGCATGTTGGTATTCACATCTGTTATTCTTAATACCTCCTGAGTACTAATTTAAATTGCCTTTAAGCCGTTAACAATCTAGTTCTTGGTAAAATTAAAATCAATAAGGCAAACTTATTTTTCAAAAGGTTACAGGAGTCTGTCCTAGTGCAGGTTCTTCCTCACTTTGGTATGGATTCCACCATCCAAAGATAGCTTCAACAATGCATGTAGCTTTTGTTCTGTCGCGCAGAGCACTGGAGAATATCAAGTGTAATTTCAAAGTCAAGAACAATTTAACAATAAACATGGTATTTTTTTTTTTGCTTAAAAAAAAGTTTTTAAAAAAAAATGTATTTATAAAAAAAAAAAAAAAGACATCAAGCCATGAAAACAAAACAAATAAAACTCAATGGTGGATAAAAACTTTTACTTTTCCAGTAAAATTGCTATCTAGGTTCTATGTTACTGCAAAGCAATAAATACAGACCAGGTATCTTGTTGTTTGACAAACATTTAAGTTAGTTAAAAGTTAGACAATCAGACCATCTTGAAGTGTAACCAAGCATGCTGCCATCAGGAAGGAGGGGCAAAAATAGAAAATAAAACTGAGCACTTTTGCTCTTGTTTGCCAGGTTATCGTAAAAAAATATGAGTTCTTTGATCTTGCATACTTCCCAATTCTGACACTGAAGACTGGGCATCATGAATGTAGATTGCCAGAAAAGCCAACAAAATGTATGTTGCTTTAAATCCAGTGACAATGACTTGTTCAAGCATTCCATAAAAAATTAATGATAACAACAAAAAAAATAATAAAATCAAAACCATTCTAAAACTATACTTAAAGCGAAGGAATTAAAGAAGGTTTCCTATCTATACATCAGTCTTTTCATTAAAAAATGTAACTAGACAATTTTCATTAACATATAAAACAAAGTCAAAAATGTAATGGCAAGAGACATGGGTAAAACAGGAAGACACTGATGCTACAAATAAATTGCAAAAATATGTACAAGACCCTGTTTTTCCTCAAAATTTAACGATTGTAATGCATGTTTAACAGCAGCAGTCGAGGATGAAAATCCAGGCACCAGACTGCAATTCCCGCTTCTAGCTGTGTGGGGCTGCTGTGCCCCTACCATTCCTGTCACCAGATGACACTAGAAATACTGGTCTCTCTTGGCAAAAGCGGCAAAATAGCACTGTTTGTATGAGCCTCATCTGGATGCTGCTCCCTGTTTGCTTTTGTCTGTGGCCGCTGTCCATTAATTAGTGTCATAGGTATGTTGCAGTAGGTATGCTGGTTACCTATTGAGGTAAGAGGCAGGGTGCCAGTAGGAGGTACGTCATATTCATAGCTTCTATAATAGTGTTTCTGTCGCATTTGTGTATGGTAAGTGTTATGAAAGGTAGAGCGGATGTCGGGATGGGCAGTAGCCAGGGCAGTGGAAGTGGCAGCAGCCATTGAAATTGCTGAAACCGTCTGCAGTTCCCCAAAAGGTCCCTGTTCACTGACATCTAAAACTTGCTCATGTGTGATGGGTTCTATTCGCTTAAAAGGCATTTCATACTGTAAACGTTTCCAGAAATTTGAATTCAACTTGTTGCATTTAGGCCCATGCCACTTGATTACGGTTAATAGCTTGATAGTGTGTTTCAGCATCTCCACTTCTTGGTAATTCATAATCCCACGTAATTCACTGCATTCTATTAGTATCACTTTAATTTCTCCAGTGATCAGCATATTTCTCAGCCTGGTCTCTAACTCAAATATACTCCAACCTCTCCTTACGACATAAGTGGGAGTCATAACAATGATTAATCGTTTACTTTGATCCACACATCTTGCAACATCTTCAATGTATGCTGTAATAAGAAAAAAATAAGAAAATATGATTCCAATTAATTTATAGACCATAACTTACATCTGCATTAAACTAATTACTTGGTAACCAACTCATCAACTCCTCAACTATTTAACAGTAAACATGGTATTTTTAAAGACATCAAGGCCTGAAAACAAAACAAATATAATTCCTTCAGATTTTTTTTATTGTTTTAAATAATGGTGGATATTTTTTTTTCCAGGAAAATTGCTATCTGGGGTCTATGTTACTGCAAAGCAATACATTAGATTATTTATCTGTCTTCAGGTCTCAGAGAGATTCGGACAGAACACTTGCAGCACCCCCATACCTCCGTTGTGGGGACTTAATACATCAATTAACTGGGGGTGAGGGGGAGCATAGTGGTGGTGGGTGGGACCCCAAGTAAAAAAGTTGGAGGTTGGACCTATTGTCCATAGGTATATGGCTGTGGAGACACTGTGTCACCATTATTAATGTTAGAGTCCCCTTCTGCCAACAATCTGTGGGGACAGGAGGGAACACTAAGCCCCCCATTCATTTTATTCAATAGCCCCCACCTGTGGCTATCGGTGGGGTAACTACCCCTAGTTAATTTATTTACTTGGTGCCCCATCATGGGTCAGGTCTACCTTTATTGGAATAGCAACTGGGGAAACAATAGCTGCCCAGTCACTAGACTTTTCCTATGAGTAGACATGTTTTGTATACATGCCACTACATGAGTCTGGGCTGGTAGGTGTAGGAGAGAGGATTTAACCACCCTTATTTATTAATACTAAGTATTTTTACTCAATATTAGTAAAGTTGTTTGGAAGACAAAAGATTAGGACTTTTTGTAATTGTGGTCTTTCATCTTCATAGTAGATAGCTACTTAATCCTTGTGTGATTGCCATAAGGATACCAAACAGGTGCTATCTACTGACCAGTTCCCTAATTTGTCACCTTTAAATATGGCAATGTCACAAGAGTGTTGATTAAGGGAGTTATCTGCTAAACAGCTGAAAAATGCAGCTGCAGGACAGTTTAGACTTTAATTTATAATGTAAATAATTACAGAAACTTTTTTTTTTTTTGTCAAACTGTCACATTTTGTCCAGACGAAATGAATATCTTGGAGGCACTTTAGTGTATTGACAACGAGTCAATTTCAATGTGACACAAATCAGGCAATAGATTGGTTCTATATGTTTTGGAACAATCTGAATACATATAGAACAATATACATGGAGCAATATGAAGGATGACATATGACTACATATTTGACGGTACATTTGGGGACAAAGTCACGTTTTTATAGCAATATGGGCGTAAAAAGTGCCCACGGGATTCAAATATTTGAGACAGTGTTTCAGAGGAAATGTTCCATATGGAGCAGATTGTAGATATAAATAAGATTTAAAGTTAAGATTCTATTCACTTAACACTGAATGATAGTGAACAGAAATTCAACATTGTAATTTTTGGGTGCAAATAGCTGCTGTATATATTTTCTAATTCAGCTTCTTTTCCAACTAGGCTATTTTTACTTATTTTTCTCAATTTAGTATTCCGTTCACTATCATTCAGTTCTTAGTGAATACACGTTGATGATTATTTTATCTATTGTTCTCACACTTACTGTGTGTGCCAAAAATCATATTTGCGTGTTTAATTCTCTTAAAAGAGTAAGATAACTGGCTCCAAAATTTTCACTTAATGTCAAATTCCTAGGGTGACACTTCCCTGTTGGAACCGGAAGTTCAAGATGTAGGTAAAAAGGGGGACTTTTAAGTTAAAAAGTATAAATTTATTACAAATAAAACAAAATAAAAACAAATTGAAAATACAAGTATAAATATAATTTGACACTAAGTGAAAGTGTTGGAGCCAGTTATCTAACAGGCTCCAAGCAAGGTGAGCAGACAATTTTATATTAATATATATTAATTGTTGAAATAGCCACACCGAGATTGCTTTCTTCTTTCTGCTTTATCTCCATATTGCTGCTGGGAGAAAAAATACAGAAGAAGGTTCCCTGGTGCCACCTAAAAGGTCCATACTCTCCTTTTGTTTAGAGCTGATATCGAAAAATGCTCTAAAAATGTGAGTGTATCGATATATACTCACCTTTAATATACACCTGTAAATTAATATATTACACTATTTTATATTTTTCTATTCCTTGCATGTGGAAAAATCCCCTATATGTAAGTGTAAACACATTTAAAGTGCTGCACTTTTTAGACTCTGTGTGCTGGGAGGTGGGGTTTATCACCCAAATGCCAAGTTCGTTCTCTGTCTATACCTTTTGTTTTAGTGGATTTTTTGCGATATCCACTGAGTGTGCAATAGCCTCTGGTATGACAATCAAAATCATTAATATCACTGTTAATCGCCTTATGTACACTGTTCTATACTTTTTTCCTGTGTGTAATTAACTGAGCAGGAGATAAAAACCTTTAAAGTAGGTTAGATCTTACTGAAGATGAGACCATTTTGTTTTCATGCAGGCTGTGTCAGTCACAGCCAGAGGAGGTGTGGCTAGGGCTGCCTAAACAGAAACAAAAGTGATTTAACTTCTAAATTGAATTCAATTAAGCAGTGAAACTTCAGAGGCATAATCTATACATTAAAACTGCTTAATTAAGTGAAAGTTGTTTTGGTGACTATAGTGTCCCTTTAACCCCTTAAGGACCACACTTCTGGAATAAAAGGGAATCATGACATGTCACACATGTCATGTGTCCTTAAGGGGTTAAACTCTATTTTTCTAGTTAAAAATTCACTTAGCACTTTTTTTTTTGCCAAACTTTGATTTAAAACATAATGGCAAAATCTAATAAAAAATAGCCAATTTATGATTTGCAGATAAGCTATTTTGCCTAACTTTTGCTATTTTTCCACAATTAAGACTTGTGCTAATAAATCATTATTACATTTTTTGGGGGAATATTGCTTTTTGCATACTGGCAACATTTAGACTAGCACACCAGATCTTTGTGAAGCCTAAGCCTAGTTATAATAAAGACTAGTTTTGCTTATCAACATGTTCCTAGCCTGTGTCAGTAAGGAATACACACAGAGCCGGGTTCTTACAAAAGTAGTAGAACTAGCACACAACCCACATATAGACAAATACCAGTATCACTTGGGAGGAAAAAAATGTCTGAATGAAGGGTGTACTTACTTCCTGTAGGAATTAGATCTCTGTCAGGTATAAACAGTTTGTATCCATAGTGTTTTTCAAGCATATCAGGTAAAATTTCCAGTGCAAATCTCTCTTCTTCTCCTGTCTCTTGGTTCCACTGATCAGGGTCCACTTTTGTATACGACAAATATGCATCAAAATCTTTGTTATCTGAAATAATCAAATGATATACTGTTTATTATATCTATTGAACTAATTGTTTATATATCATCTTAGTTTACCAGTTTCTTAAAATGCATCTATTATAATCTAGTATGAAAACACTTATGCAAGCATGGACTCCATAGCTTTTGGGCTTTGGCAATTCAATTAAGCTCCACAGGTTGTAATCTGGTTTGCTATCCAATATAACAGTTTATTAGGAAAGCATAGGCTGAAGTTGGTGTTTTAGAAGTTAAAACCCACATGGTTATTTACAAAAGTAAGAACAGTTGGGAATTGAATGTCAATTCAAAGTCAATATAAAATTTAAAGGACTATTATAAGCACCAGCATTACTTTAGGTTTATGTGATGTAAAGTCATTAAACTTAATTGAAGCTTGTCTTCCCTCATAAGGAATGATCCAATCAGACTGCATTGGCAGGATTAGAGAGGGTGTTGTAATGCAACACATGCTACAGTTGATGTGAAAGATGAAGAAAAGGATTGTGTAATCCTGGAAACCTTGGCAGCCTGCTACCTTCCTATGTATACTTCAAATTTAAGAAACATGTTTAATACTATATTACACTATGACAGATATACACTGCTTAGAATGCATAAATGAGTCAATCATTATGATTTTTAAATAGTGAAAACAATATTTGAACACTGTATGCCTTTTTTTCTTTAACTTTTTATTAACCTCCCCATATGGTTCTTATTTAGTATTCTCCTAATTTCAGACACAATTCCTTATTTAAAACATATAAGGGAATGAAAATGTAATTTTGTGCTTTAGATATTTAAACATGAATTCACAATTTGTCACTGTCCCCACTATTTCAACATGACCATGACCTGTTTCTAGGGTGAATGGGTCAAAAATCACTATTTGTCCACACTTGATCAAAAATAATTATTAAAAACAAAACCTACTTAACACCACAAAAACTCAAGTCTAGTATCAAAAGTTGTCACCGCCAAGGCAGCTTGTAATTGGAGTCCCTCAGGTTGCTCCAAGCAAATCAAGAAAAAAAAAATCCCACAAACATAAGCTAGTAAAATATCCATGCAATCAAAAATTGAGAATTCTTTACCAGACAAAGGCCAAACTTAATAAATGAATATTTGTTATGAACAAAATTAGTCATAATGAATAAATAAAAATAGATAATAAACAAATTAGTTACATCAATAAACAGTTAAAGATAAAAAGGATAAATTAACAGAAACTCTTAGTCATTCACTTTGCTAGTATTGAATTGTATCTTTTGTTCTCCAGCTGGCTCCAGCAAGGAAAATGTCAATTTACTCAGAGCTTGATCATGTCCCCTAGTAAGCACATGGTTTATTTACATGTCATAGTTTTTTTACACTATGCACTCATCTCAAGTTTTCAATCTGGTTCCGAAATAGGTACAAAATGGAGTGTAGTGATAACTGTAGTAAGTCTAGGATGATTACAGCTCCCATCTAACCTTTTTGCTGATTTAAAGGACCACTCTAGGCACCCAGAAGCCCCTACTCTCTCCATCTCAGCCGCGGCGAGGGAGCTGTCTGCTCTCTGCTTCATCACGCCGCGTGCTGTTTGCTGCTGCCGGGAACCGGAATATGACGTCATATTCCGGCTCCCAGCTACTGTAGACAGCCCGCGCTGCGAGAGGAAGCAGAGAGCAGACAGCTCCCTCGCCGAGGCTGAGATGGAGAGAGGCGCTCGCCCCACTGGACCCCAGGGACAAGTCCACACCAGCACTCCAGGTAGGGAGGCTGGGTGGACATTTTATTATTAAAATATAATAATTTGTGTGTGTGTGTGTGTGTGTGTGTGTGTCTGTGAATGTGTGTGTGTCTGTATGTGTGTGTGCCTGTGAGTGTATGTGTGTGTCTGTATGTGTGTGTCTGTGAGTGTGTGTCTGTGAGTGTATGTGTGTGTGTCTGTGAATGTGTGTGTGTCTGTGAGTGTATGAGTGTGTGAATGTGTGTGGGTCTGTGAATGTATGAGTGTGTGTCTGTGAGTGTATGTGTGTGTCTGAATGTGTCTGTGAGTGTGTGTATGCATATATATATATTTTTGTGTATATTATTTTTTTTGGGGGGGTGGGAATCTTGGGAGAGTTCCCACACATTATTCCACAGGACTTGTACCCTGCTGGCAGGGGAGATCTCCCCTGTCGGCTCACGCAGAGCCGGCGCTATCTGAGTGCCGGCTCTGCTCTAAGCCTCCATGGGCCGGCGGGGAGACCAAAGATCTACCTCACCGGCCCACAGCAGCATGGAGGGAGGCAGGAGAGGACCCAGGGAGCTCTAGACAGAAGCTCCGCCAGGTTCCTCTCGCGATATCTGAGCGTTGCTGCGGCAACGCTCAGATCTCGCGAGAGTTAACTCTAGCCCCGCAGGCTAGAGTTCACTCTCCACTGGACCACCAGGGATGGCACATGGCAGCAAGGATTTACTAATCTGCCCCCACCTCCACAATCCCTCCAAACATACAGCACACACAAACACACATACAGCACCTACACACAGTACACTAACCGCACCCTCACAAACACACACAGCACCTTTAAAAAAACACAACACCCTCACACACAGCACACTAACAGCACCCTCACAGGACAAACACACACCCTCACACACAAACAGCACAGTCACAAACACACACACACAAACACCCTCACATCACACTAACAGCACCCTCACACACATCACACTAACAGCACACACAGCACCCTCACACAGCACACTAACAGCACACACAGCAGTGTATGTGTGTGTGTGTGTGTATATATATATATCTGTGTGTGTATATACATGTGGCGTGTGTTTGTGCTTTAGTGTGCACACCCTAATGCAATAGGCTGCGCACGCCTATGGCTTTGTGTCTGGTGGTGATGTAGTGAAGTGGAGGGTGAGTTTTACTTACTTGAGCCTGTCCCTCACAGCTCCTGCCATTTCCTATTCGGATCCTGGTACTTCATCTGCCAGGAGCCCACATCAAGCTTGTACTCTTGTACATGCCAGTTGTGTGCCTGGCCTCAAAGGAAATAATCTAAATTGCAAATCGGTTTCTGTGAACTGACACATAACACATTCCCTATAATAGACAAATTGACTGTTAAAGTACTTAAATGAGTCATCCCACACATATTAGTTAACAAGCTCACTGTGCATGGCACCTACCTTAAATTAGAGATGCAATGGGAGAAGGTACATATGTCTCTCCCTTGGGTATCAACATATGTGCATGTTTTATTTTAGCTGGTTGTAGCAATGGTATCAACTCTGCCTTATAACTCGGTTTAAATCCTGATGAGACCACCTTACCAGTAAATGTCTGTGGGCATGGCACTTAATGATATATCTCCCTCCCTCAAATGCTCATAGATTGTAAACTGGTTTGGGCATGGACCTTTTCACATCTATGCATCCCCTTTCTACAGTTGTAAAGACATGCAAAGTATGTTGGTGCTACATAAATGCAAATGATAAATGCATTCCTGTTATTACTTCACTGGTAGGGTGATACCCAAATTGAGTGAATTTAAAATATATAGTGTCAAAATAGCCACAATGAAAAAAAATGCTTATTTCAGCATGGCTTCCAGTTTTGCTACTTTTGGCCTTACATTTGAAACTTGCTTTAAATTAATACCTTAGTGAATAACCCTCTAGGATTCAATCCAAATCTATGTTGTTTTAAACAGGGTCTACACTTGATTTCATATGTTCTCTGATATACAAATAAAAATCATTACTAGAATTAGAATAAAAAATACCTTAAAGGAGCACTATAGGGTCAGGAACACAAACATGTTTTCCTGACCCTATAGTGTTAAAACCACTATCTAGCCCCCTTGGTCCCCTTTGCCTCCCTAAAGATAGTAAAATATTATTTGTATTCAAGTCTGCTGCCTCTTCCTGTGAACTTCCTCTGACCTCTGACATAATCAGAAGTGGTGGCCTGATCCAATCACAATGCTTCCCCATAGGATTGGCTGAGACTGACAAGGAGGCAGATCAGGGGCAGAGCCAGCACAATTCAAACACAGCCCTGGCCAATCAGCATCTCCTCATGGAGATGAATTGAATCAATGAATCTCTATGAGAAAAGTTCAGTGTCTGTCGTGCAGAGGGAGGAGATACTGAATATGTGGATGCATTTTAGGCAGCTATGACCCAGGAAGGATCTCTAACAGCTATCTGAGGAGTGGCCAGTGAAGTTATCACTAGGCTGTAATTTCTCTGAAATTACAGTGTTTACAGCAAAAAGCCTGAAGATAATGATTCTACTCATCAGAACAAATTCAATAAGCTGTAGTTGTTCTGGTGACTATAGTGTCCCTTTAAAAATATATTTTGTGTCTATTAAATATTTGCTAATGCAATTGGTTTTCATTTTTTTTATTTCATATATTTAATCCATTGACGACCGATGACAGTTCAGGACCGTCATCGGAAACATCCCCTTGAGGACTGATGACGGTCCTGAACTGTCACAACGATCTGGGGGTACTTACCTGATCGCCGTCAGTCCCCCAGTGGTAAACAGTGCTCCTCCCGGTCCAGGGGAACTGCCTGTCTGCCCAGGCAGTCTCCCCACGGAAGATCAGGACCCCGCGGCCACGTGATCGCTCGATCACATGACCGCAAGGGTGCCTGTGTATCTGCCTTCAGGGGGACTGTCTGTGCTGACAGGCAGTCTCCCTGCAAGTAGAAAATCACAAATAAAGTTTTTAAATAAAGTAATTAGGGGAAAAAAAAAATATATATGTATATATAAGATATATATATGCATGTATTATATCTATATATAATATATGTATATATCATATATATAATGCCATACTAAGTGTATTTTTATATTTATATATACGTATATTAATATAAAAATACACTTATATTTAAATTACACACATATATATATACACAATATATATAATAACTATATATACAATATATATAATAACTATATATATTGTATATATATATTATAAATTATAAATAATATGTTAATAAAAATAAATAAAAAAAGTAAAAATAACTTTAATAATTAAAATATATATATATATATATATATGTAATTTTATTCAAACAGTATTTTGATATTTATATATATATATATATATATATATATATATATCAAAATACAGATATTTTGTATACAGTTAGAATGTAATGATATATATATATATATATATATACATATATATATATATATGTATAAATAAATAAATAAAAATAATACAAAATATACATCTGTCCATATACATAATTACATAAATCATATAAATATGTATATATATTAAAATTCTACGTGCATATTTATGTAATATTTTTACCTATTTAAGTAATTTTATTGATTGCAATTTGAGGGACATGCCTTACAACCCAGGCCGAAAGTCCAGAGAATTTAATTTGCTAGCACTGTGTTTAACCCTGTAACTTTCTATGACACCCTAAAGCCTGTACATGGGGGTACTGTTTTACTCGGGAGACTTCGCTGAACACAAATATTAGTGTTTCAAAACAGTAAAACATATCACAGCGATGATATGGTCAGTGAAAGTTAAGTTTTTTGCATTTTTCACACACAAACAGCACTTTCACTGATGATATTATTGCTGTGATACATTTTACTGTTCTGATACACTAATATTTGTGTTCAACTAAGTCTCCTGAGTATAACAGTACCCCACATGTAGAGGTTTTATAGTGTTTGTGAAAGTTACAGGGTCAGATATAAGGTTTGATTTTACTTTTTTTTTTATTGAAATTTGTCAGATTGGTTAGGTTGCCTTTGAGAGCGTATGGTAGCCCAGGAATGAGAATTAGCCCCATAATGGCATACCATTTGCAAAAGAAGACAACCCAAGGTATAGCAAATGGCGTATGTTCAGCCTTTTTTAGTAGCCACTTAGTCACAAACACTGGCCAAAGTTAGCGTTTTTTGCATTTTTAACACACAAACATATATAAATGCTAACTTTAGCCAGTGTTTGTGACTAGGTGGCTACTAAAAAGACTGAACATACCCCATATTGAATACACTGGGTTGTCTACTTTAAAAAAATATGTACATGTGAGGTGTGATTCGGGGATTTATGACAGATAACGGTGTTACAATGTCACTATTGATAAATTTAAAATATATATATATTGAAACAGCAATTTCCTACTTGTATTTAAAGGCCTATAACTTGCAAAAAAAAGCAATAAAGCACGTAAACACTGGGTGTTTTTAAACTCGGGACAAAATTTTGAATCTATTTAGCAGTTTTTTTCATTCGCTTTTGTAGATAAGTAAATGATTTTTCAAGTAAAAGTCCAAAAACATGTTTTTTTTTACATTTTTCACCATATTTTATTTATTTGTAAAAAATAAATGGATTTCATATTTTTATTATTTGTATCATTATATGATACAAATAATGGTATGTAAAGAAAGCCCTTCTTGTCCTGAAAAAAACAATATATAACTAGTATGGGAACTGTAAATGAGAAAGAGGAAAATTACAGCTAAACACAAACACCACAAAAGTGTCAAAACTGCTCTGTACAACATCGCAAAAACAGGCCTGTCCTTAAGGGGTTAAAAATGAAAAAGACAAGAAAAAGACAAAAGCACACAAGTCTATGATTAGAATATGTTTATACCCTGACAGCTGAAGGTCAAACAGTAAACAAATTAAAATTACCTGTCAAAAATGCTATATTTCTACAAATTATATTTTATTAATTTTGGAAATATTCATTCATACTAATTATGCTAAAAATCTCCTTAGGCTGAATAGCTCCTAATTTTATTTTGTATTTTTTTTTTTTAATTCACAATTTTGCAGTTTTTAGAATTCTTCACATTCTTCTTTAAGACATTCAGTTTAATTACTACAGAAGAGAAATAAATCTCTTCTTTACAAATTACTAAATTCTTTTGGTTTAGAGGAAAAAAGGCATTCATTAATTTTCATTAGGAGGTCAATATCACCAAGTGTGCTAGATCTAATTCCCAGGAAGAAGAGGTCACATGTTGATTATTGTGGTGAAGAAAGTACAGCTAAATCAATAAAAAGAGTAATGAAATGTTAACCTTCTACTAACTCTCTAAAAAGCATTAGACTATGCAGTGCTTATAAAAGAATCTTCATTGAATATTATACTGTGCAGGACTTTTTCACTATCTCATTTTCTGATAAAGAGTATACTGTAAAATAAAGAATCTTTTTGATTCTAAGTAAATGGAACTTTCATATTTTAGAATAGGCTCATTGGTTCTATCAATTGACAAACTATCATTTTCTTAAAATAGGCAAATTAAATTAAAAAATATATTGGAGAGTGGCTAGCTGTAACAGTGCATGATAGCACTATTTCAGAGCTCTGCCACCAAACAGGAACATCCACAACCACCAACCGCTGTGTAATTTGACTCAGAACTCTCTGATTGGTTGGTTTCAATCAACCAATCAGAGGGTTGTTATGAGTCAAATTACACAGACTGGGAAAATTCCAAAGAACCAACCAATCAGAGAGCTCTGAGCCTAATTGCAGGGTGGGGCAAGGCTGTATAAGCCTTCCCCTGCCCTGTGGAGCTCAGTTTGCACGGTGCCCTCCATGGGTGAATATGGATTACTTTTTCAGCATCAGGGGTTTTTTTTTCTTCAGGGTTTTTTTTGCATTCTGTTTTTTGTTTTCTTTTTTTTTCAAAGTGCGATGGGTATTATGGTTTTTTATGTGGCCTTTTTTGGGGCTGTCAAAAGAAGATTTTAGAAAAAAGAAGACATCAAATGGTAAGTTTTATTTCTTTATTTACAGGTACTTAGTTATTGTTCCTCCCTCACTATTTTTAGGTTGAGGGGGGTAGGGAGGGGTTTATTCATTTTTTTGGGGAGATGGGCGATTAGGGATTTTGGGACCCCTAGTCACCTGGGGGGGTGAACATTTTTGTTTAGGGCCGCTCAGGGGAGGGTGCTGGGGAGAGAGAACAATAGGTCCCCCATTCCAATTTAGGGCCCCCACCCATCACTCAGGGGTGGGGGCCCGGGGGGAGGACAATAGGTCCCCCCCTTATTCTAATTTAGGGCCCTCACATGCCACTCAGGGGTGGGGGCTGGGAACGAGGACCCATATTGGTATTTAGGGCCCCACATCTGCCGCTCAGCAGGCGGGGGCTGGGGTGAGGACAGTAGGTCCCCCCCATATTGGTATTTAGGGCCCCCACCCGCCGCTCAGTGGTGGAGGCTGGGGGGGAGGACAATACGTCTCCCCTCATATTAGTATTTGGGCCCCACCCACAACTCAGGGGTGGGGGCCGGGGGGAGGACAATAGGTCCCCCCCTTATTCTAATTTTGGACCCCCACCTGCAGCTCAGGGCACGGGTGGGGGCTTGGGAGGGGGGACACTTGGGGGGTTTTCTTTGGTTTTTTTAACAGTGAGCAGCCACAGGATCACTGTATACTAGACATGCCTCTACTCACGGTATAGCGAGTAGGGGCAGAATTTACTTAGTATTAGTAAATTTAACTGAAAGACCAATTTAGGTCTTTCAGCCTTTTGGTAGATAGCTCCCTAATACCGTGGGAATTAGGGAGTTATCTACTAAGGTGCTGCAAGAGAACATATCCAAAGTCCCGAAGTTCCGAAGTGCCAAAGTTCCGAAGTGTTGAAGTGCCAAAGTTCCAAAGTGCTGAACTGAAACGAAGTGCCAAAGTCCGAAGTTCTGAAGTGCAGAAGTCCCGAAATTCAGAATGCCAAGCAGAACCGAATATTTTCCCCATGCACATCCCTACTTATCATGGCTAGATCTCATTTGAAGCAGCTCTTGTACCATATAGCCAAAAAGCAGATTCTGATGACCAAACACTCATATTATGCCAAGACAACAAGTGCAGAGCCATGCCCGCATGAGCCCCAACATTCCTTTACTGAAAACAAATCAGAGATAAAACAGGTAAGACAATGCACAATGCTGAGTCCATAGTGAAAGCCTTCCATGCATACTACTCAGACCTATGCAAAATAACACCAGACCAGAGTGACCAACACAGACTCCACTCATACCTTGAGTCTGACATACAAAACACAATCCTAACTCATACTGGACGTACCCATCATGCCTGACGAATGCCTCAATAATATTAAGCAATCACCTAATGGGAAAAGTCCAGGACTAGATGACTATACTAATAAGTACCTCAAAGTCTTTGTCCGAACATTAAGCCCACATATGCTCAAAATATTAAATACCATATCTGATGGGATCCACGTTCCCACTCCAGTGCTTGGGTAAACAATAACACTAATTCCAAAACCAGGCAAGGACCTGCATCAGCTGTAGCAACTACTACCCCATTTTGTTAATCAATACCAACATTAAAATACTATCTTGGGCACACTGCCTTTATGACATGGGCAAAATAATAAACACAACACTTTTTGCCTAAGGCACACCTGTGCAATAATCATGCTGTCTCATCAGCATCTTGATATTCCACATCTGTGAGGTGGATTGATTATCTCGGCAAGAGAAGTGCTCACTAACACAGATTTAGACAGCTTTGTGAACTATATTGGAGAGAAATAGGCATTTTGTGTACATAGAAAAAGTCTTATATCTTTGAGTTCAGCTCATGAAAAATGGGGGCAAAAACAAAAGTGTTGCGTTTATAATTTTATTCAGTGTATGTTTACATCCAAGAACCTGTTGTATGAGTCTCTACAATACCTGTGTTCTATGAAATATAGCATAATCTTGATGACTATGTTGTAACTTTCAGAAAAGATAAACACTCTAATACCTCTGACCTTGCAGGTTCTCGTTTTGTATTATGCTAAAAACGATATAAAAAAAGGGAAACTATTTGAATACAATATGATTTTGTCCAGAAGAGTACAGTTTTTAAGGGATTCCATAGTGCCAGTAAAACAAAGCCGTTTTCCTGGCACTATACGTTTCTACAGAGCCCCCTCTGACCTTGCAGGTTCTCGTTTTGTATTATGCTAAAAATGATATAAAAAAAAAGGGAAACTATTAGAATACAATATGATTTTGTCCAGAAGAGTACAGTTTTTAAGGGATTCCATAGTGCCAGTAAAACAAAGCCGTTTTACTGGCACTATACATTTTTACAGAGCCCCCTCCCTCAAGCCCCCCTCATGTAGCACTGACTTACCTAAATCCGAGCGCTGATGTTCCTTGTCACTGGATCAGGCTCCACCCACAATCTTCCCCCACTGACGGCAGCTGGAGGGTGAGACCTAATGCGCATGTTATTGTGACTCCGGTGACGCTGGAAGTCCTTATGCATAGTGTGAGGACGTCCAGCATCATTTAGATGACCAAAGGTCATCTAAGCACGCGGAAGTCCCTCTAGTGGCTGTCTAGTAGACAGCCACTAGAGGTGGAGTTAACCCTGAATGGCAATTATTGCAGTTTCTCAGAAACTATAATATCACTATTGAGTTAAGGGACAAGGGACATTGCACCCAGACCACTTCAGTGAGCTGAAGTGGTTTAGGTGCCTACAGTGTTCCTTTAAAGATTAGAGTTCCTGTATACTATATCAGTACTGCTAAGGTCTTTTAAAGTATGGGCTTTACATAAGAAAAGCCTTAACAATTATCCCGGTCCACACTGGAGCAAACTCAAGTCAACCTCCGAGCTGACTAAAGGGTGCTGGACACGCAAGGCCCTCAGCCCAAGATGGCGGTGGCTCAGAGCACCTACCTAACTGTTCCTGCGACATAGAGCCACAACAGCTGTCTAAACGAAGGTACAGTTCATTCTTCATTTCCTTTTTATACAGGATATAATACATGTAAATTTAAATAAATGTATGTCTTTGTGTATAGTGTCAGGATATGTGGATTCAGAGTATATCTGAACACATGTTTTTGGCTGTATTTGGTATGGTAAACAGGGTTGTATTTGTTTTATGTGTGTTTGTGTAGCATGGCAATATGTATAAGGGGGTATTTGTGAATTGTGTCAGTGTGTTTGTATGAAGTACACAGGCCTCCAAATTTTGCGTCTTAAATTACAAACCAAGTGTTAAGTGTTACGAGACAACTTAAAGGAACACTCTAGTGTCGGGAATACAGATGTGTATTCCTGACACTAAAGGTTTATAGGCCGGTCCTTAAAAAAGTCATTTACTCACCTTTTTTCCAGCACTGACCAAATGCATGGTTGGACAGCCCCTGCTCTGCCTCTTTGGCGGAGTTCACCAGTTTAGATTAACTCAGCTAATCCAATGTTTTACCATAGGAAAGCACTGGAAGGCGATTATGCATGTGCGGCAAAAAGCTACGCTGTGCCAATCATCATCTCCTCATACAGATGCATTGAATCAGTGCTTCTCCATGCAAAGCGTGGAGATGCAGAATGCCAGTGTTGCACATTTTGCAACACTGACACAGGAAGCACCAAGGTGTTCCTAGGCAGCAATGTAAACACTGTCTTTTAACTGAAAAGGCGGTGTTTACAGCAAACCCCTACAGGGGCAGGCTATACTCACCAGAACAACTACATTAAGCTTTAGTTCTTCTGGTAACTATAGTGTTCCTTTATGCTTGTGCATGCAAAGGGGTAGGGACTGTAGAGGGTGCCGGAAGGAAGAGGCTGTAGAGTTTGCAGGGGGAAAGGGGCTGCAGAGGGGAGGGACTGTAGAGGGTGATAGGGGATAGGGGTTGTAAAGGGTGCTGGGGGGAATAGAGGCTGTAGTGGGTGCAGATGGTAAAGGAGCTGTTGTGATTGCAGGGGGAAATAGGAGCTTTAGTAAGTGAAGGGGCTGTTGTGAGTGCAGATGTACAAGTGGTGCTTTAGTAGATGCAGGGGGTAGGGGCTGCAGAGGGAGCAAGTGGGAAGGGGCGGCAGAGGGAGTAAGGGGGTGGAAACTGCAGAGGGTGCAAGAGGGTAGGAGCTACAGAAGGAGCAAAGGAGTAGGGACTGTAGAGGGAGCAAGGGTTATGGGCTTGCAAGGGGGTAGGAGCTGCTGTGGGAGCAAGGGGTAGGGGCTTCAAGGGGTTAGGGGCTGCATAGGGAGCTGCAGAGAGAGCAGGGATGGGGCTGCAGAAGGAGCAGGGTGTTGGGGCTGCAGGGGAGTAGAGACTGCAGAAGGAGCAGGGGTTAGGGGCTGCAGAAGGAGAAGGGGTAGGGGCTGCAGAGGGTAGGGGCTGCAGAGGGAGCAAGGGTGTAGGGGCTGCAGAGGGAGCAAGAGGGTAAGGACTGCAGAGGAAGGAAGCTGGTATGTAGTTGTAAGGGGATATGGGACTGCAACGGGGTAGGAACTGTAGTGGGAGCAGGGGGGTAGGAGCTTCAGGGGGCTGGGGGCTGCAGAGGGAGCATGGGAGTAGGGGCTTCATAGGGATCAGGGGGTAGGGGCTTCAGAAGGAGCAGGGGGTAAGGGCTGCAGAAAGAGCAGGGGGTTGGGACTGCAGAGGGAGCAAGGGGTAGAGGTTGCAGGGGGAGCAGGGAGGTTGGAGTTGCAGAAGGAGCAGGGAGTAGAGGCTGCAGGTGGAGCAGGGGGTAGGGGCTGCAGGGGGAGAGCAGAAGGTGGGGAGAGCTGGAGGATAATGGAGAGCAGGGGGTAGAGGCTGCAGGGGGTAGGGGCTGCAGAGGGTGTAGAGGCCTTGGGAGGATAGGAGTTGGTGTGAGGAGTTATAGGGGGTTTGAGGGTATAAGGGCTGTGATGGGGCAGTAGTGGGGGAGATTATTAAAATTAAAATATGTATAAAAGTTTTTTTTAAAATGATTAAAAAAATAAATCCCCCTTCTCCAACTCTTACCTCCCTGGTGGTGCCAAAATTCTCTTCTGAAGGTTTCTCAGACATGTTGCTTGTAACACTGCCCAGGGCAGCTCTGCACAGTTTACTCTGCACTGTGCCTAATCACGTTCCTGCAGAACAAGCCGTAGCTGCCCTGAGTAGTGTTACACTGAGACAGGCACACTGAGAGGGAGCTTAGAGGGGTCTTTAGGAAGGCCCCTTAGCTGTCCCTCAGTGTGCCCTGCATGGCGCAGCATATTTCTAACAGTAGGGGCCCGCAGAAGGCTGTGCGGGCCCCTTACTGAGTTCAGGCTCGCTGGGGAACTTGCTGAACTCCCCAGATCAGAAATTGCTGCACCTCAACAGGGGCAGGACCCCTAGAGACTCGGTGCATGACTGATTTGCCCAAGTGCTCAGTCCACCCCGGGCTGTGAGAAACAATATCAATCAACCTGTAATATTTTTGCTCTCTACTTTTGATCACTTTAAATACAACAGCAATTGCTGGCCTAGTTAGAAGGTGCATTAGCAAGGTATGCCTATTAGAGTGTGTACATTTTTATTTCACTCTGAAATAATTTATAAATATAAGAAGAAGAAGTTTAATACATCTTTGCATTTTCTTTTTTTACGAAGTTAGAATTCTAGCAACAGGAATTTATATAAAGTACTTTATAATTGTCAAAATTACAGTAGCTGATGCTGGATATAGTGTGTTCCCTGCAGGTAACACAAGAATGAAATGACAACTGGATTTTGTGAAAAAATGGATTTGTAGATATTAGCCCAAATATATTTATATAACAGACATTTTTTTAACAGACATTATTTACAATATATATATATATATATATATATATATATTTGTGCTCGGAATGTGTCTAATACGTAATGGAATGTAGAATGTAGAAGAGGAAGCAAAGTTGGTTGAGGTGTGCTGAAACCAACGTACGAGTAGGCCTGTAAAAAGAGGGCCCACAAAGGTGAATTGTTAATATAGATGGGTGTAGGTGGGTGGGGACAAACGGCTTGCAAGACAAAGGTAAGTAGGGGGGTAGGGTTTATATAGAGTCATAACTCCTCCCACAAATTCAGGCCAAATGGCCTTCCAACTTGTGCTCAGAATTTATCTAATACGTAATGGAATGTAGAATGTAGAAGAGGATGCAAAGTTGGTTGAGGTGTGCCGAAACCAACGTACGAGTAGGCCTGTAAAAAGAGGGCAAAAGAGGATTCAAAGAAAAACACACTTTATTGCAAGTTAATACAGCATGAGTAACAAAAGCTTGTAAAAAGCTTTATTCTGGTTGAGGTATGTAAGTACCTGAGCTGATGTTTACTTGTGACCCCATCGCTTTGAGATGTAGACTGGGGTGTAAGTGTTTGAAGCTGCTGCTGTAGTGCTTGCTAGAGAGATACCAGCGGAGGAGACACAATGCTCAAGCTTAGTGGAAGGTTTAGACGTAATGAGATGGATTGAGGAATGATTGTAAGTGTTTGACTTTGGAGACGTAACAGCTGAGTGACAGCATAGGAGGTTTTAAGAAAGAAGCTTGGTTTAGCGAAAAAAAAATTACCATGATTATAACAGTGAAAGTCTTGGATCTAAGCAAACTTCTTTTTGTGACATGGTGCAATACACAAAGCCCTGGCGTACGTGAAGGGAAAGTCATGAACCTGTGTGAGGTGTGCGTACCTGTGCGAGGTGCATGTGCTTAGTCCCAGATTAGCTCGTGGAATGGTGGAATCCTAGATGGGAAGTGGTGGGCCGTGGGGAGTGCCTGAAAGAAGATATTAAATTGGGAGCATGAAAGGGCGTCAGCTGCTGTGTTGTGGACACCAGGAGTGTGGATACAGACTAGGAAGAACTGAGAGGTAGCTGCCAACCACGTCAGCCTGCGAATCAGCCTCATAATCGTTAGAGAGGAGGACTGACCTTTGTTAATGATGTCGCAGGCTGCGGAGTTGTCAGAGAAGCATCTAACTGCCTTGCCAGTCCAAAGATGACCCCAAGTGTGGGCGGTCGCTACGATGGGGTAGATCTCAAATAAAGTAGATGATTCTCTAAAGGCCGGCAAGGCATCCGTCTCTGGGGGCCAGTTGTCCCTAAACCAGTGATTGCCGTAGAGGGCTGCGAACCCTGTGTGTGCCGCTGCGTCTGTGTAAATTGAAGGTGAATGCTCTGAAAGTGGGAAAATTAACAAAGAGATCCCATTCCAATCAGCAAGAAACCTACTCCACATGTGTAAATTCGCCGTTGTCGGGTCATCCAAAATGACTGGGCAGGAGTCGGGCACACCGTGGAGCAAATTGAGAAGCCTGGAGACAAAAGACGTCCCCTGTGGAATGATACGCATAGCAAAGTTGAGGGACCCAAATAAGGACTGGAGGCCCCTCCTAGTGCACGTAACACTCCGCGGGAACAGGACAATCTCGTTCCTGATGTGGGACAGTTAATCTGGTGGTAAACTGGCTTGGAAGGTAGTGGTGTCGCGAACTATGCCGAAGAAAACAAGCGTGGTGGAGGGACCGATTGTTTTGCTTCATGACAAGGGGACCCCGAGTGTCAAGATAAAAGCTGTGGTGGAATGTATGCAGTGAGGGGATTGTGAACCTGGTTCTATTAATAGAAAATCATCTAGGTAGTGGATGACAGAGGGGCACCTGAGTATATTTAGGAGCAGCCAGCAGAGGGTTTCTGTGAAGATATCAAATAACTTGGGGCTGCTCCTAGAGCCAAAGGTGAGCCAGGTGGAGAAAAAATACCTGTTCCTCCATTTAACACCGTGTAAGTGCTATAGTGAGGGGTGAATAGGTAGTAGTTTGAAAGCGTTGGTTATATCTGTTTTGCTTAACCAAGCCCCACTACCCGCTAATAAGATGGCTTACATGGCATCATCAATTTTAGCATATTGTAGTGAGAATGACAGTTACAGCCATTACAGTGGCGAGAATGAGGGAGTTGATACTGGGAGTGGAGGAAGAATGAGGTGCAGAGAGATCGATAGTTAAACATTTTTTGTTGGAGTATTCATGAATGGCTGTACCGATGGGATTGGTACGCCAAGATGAGAAAGGTGAAGACAGAAAAGGGCTGATCATAAAGCCGGCTGTGATTTCAGTAGACAGAAGGTGTGAAACCCCTGAGAAAAACCCGTCACCAGATAATCTACCAGGTGCCTAGCTGGATGTGACTGGAGATAGTATTCTAGGATGTCAATGTTAACCTCGGTCAGGCGTTTCTTAGGTGACAGAAGGGCTGGGCAAGTGGACTTGGTGTGGACTCTGAAGCATATGGAGCAGATGTGCAGTGCCCCGCATGTCGTGAGATTACATACCCTTGCATTAAAGTCAATACACACCCGCCCAGAAATGAAATGGGCCTGTCCGGCACATCTCTCCGCCCGCCACCCTGACTAGCGTGTGGGGTGAGGGGTTGGTGAGACGTTTAAGTGTCTGTCGTGCAAGTGAGCATAGTTTGGGAGGTCAGCAGTAGGGCCATGGTGTTAACATTTTTACCCTTGGGAACGCCCATTCTGATGGACCCTGGGACAGGGTGGACAGGGGAAACATAAGGAGTGGATATGGCTGAGACCATCAGGGGAAGGTTTGCCAAGCCTAACGAGGCACCTGGAGAGGCTATAGCGGATTCAAGTTTCACTAGTCTGTGATTGATTATTTGGAGGTTGGTGAGTATAGCTACCAGGGTGTCTCGTGTGGAATCTGAAGTGTGAGCTGGCAAGATTTGTGAACTACAGCCTGGCCTGGAAACGTTGGCCTGAGAGGTCATTAGTCGGTACAGTTCTGCCTTTCTGGCGGAGGCAGGAAAGGAGATACCCCTGCTTCTGAGTTCCGCTGAGATTTTTGGAATGGTCCAGTATCTCATGTACGTGTGGGTGAAAGGGGTGAGGGATTTATCCGGAGACCTAGGCCTGAGTGGCGCGCTGGGTATGTTATCCGATGGTAGATCGGTGATCGGTTCTTGTGACATCTGAAAAAAAAAGGAAAAACGCTTTGAATAAGTAGAGTGAAGAGGAGGTGAAAGTGAGACCTCCGGAGAACTGGCCTGCTAGCTAGTGCCGAGGCAAAGAATTTACCTAGACCAAGTGACAGGTGAGGCCCTGCTAGTGCCAAGTGGTGGGGAGAGGCTCTACCTATGATTTGGCCCGAGGGGATTTTTTGACCACATGCACGTGGTGGCGGGGTGTAGGCCTCTCGGTGACCATAAAGAGAGTCAAAACGTGTGGCCTCGACTTGGGAAGCCCTAGCTATAGCCCAGAAGATGGGCGAGCGAGGTGGCTAACTATGATTTTGGTCGTGGGCCGAACCTCCGTGGATGAGGTGGGGGTGTAGACCAGGTATTAATTTGATAGCTACGGCCAGCACCTAACCCTAGGAGCCAGTTTTCTAAACTACTGGGGCTTGTCTCTTGCAATGATGTATATGTACATATGTAAATACTAACCTTGAGTATGAGTCCTGTTTGTTTGTACAAAGCACAGGGAGACTTCGATAAGGCAGATACATACACTTAAAGGATCACTATAGGCACTCAGATCACTTCAGCTCAATGAAGTGGTTTGGGTGCCAGGTCCCTCTAGTTTTAACTGCTATGTTTCACTGAGGGTTAATCCAGCCTCTAGTACCTCTCTCACTGACAGCCGCAAAAGGGGCTTCCGTGATTCTCACTGTGAAAATCACAGTGAGAAGATGCTGGACGTCCATAGGAAAGCATAGCGCAATTAAGCAGAGCACCATTTTCATGCAGTATGGGGAAGAAAAAGGATCTCTCTGCTGATGAAAAGAGTGAAATAGTTCAATGCCTTGGACGAGGTATGAAAATATTAGATATTTCACAAAAATGTAATTGTGATCATCGCACTATTAAGAGATTTGTGGCTGATTCCGAGCACAGACGGGTTTGTGCAGATAAAGGCCCATTGAGCAAGATTTCTGCCAGATTCATGCATCCGATCAAGAGAGCAGCTGCTAAAATACCATTACATAATAGCAAACAGATATTTAAAGCTGCTGGTGCCTCTGGAGTCCCACGGACATCAAGGTGTAGAGTCCTCCAGAGTCTTGCATCTTTGCATAAACCTTCTATTCAGCCACCACTAACCAATGCTCACAAGCAGAAATGGTTGCTTTGGGCAGAAAAATACATGAAGGCTAATTTTCAAACAGTCCTGTTCACTGATGAGTGCTGTGCAACCCTGGATGGTCCAGATGGTTGGAGTAGTGGATGTTTGGTGGACGTCCACCCTGTTCCAACAAGGCTGCTATGTCAGCAAGGCGGTGGTGGAGTCATATTTTGGGCCGGAATTATGGCAAGAGAGCTGGTCAGCCCCTTTAGGGTCCCCGAAGGTGTAAAGATGACCTCTGCAAAGTATGTGGAGTTTCTGACTAACCACTTTCTTCCCTGGTACAGAAGGAAAAACTATGCTTTCTGTAATAAAATCATCTTCATGCATGACAATGCACCATCTCATGCTGCAAAGAATACCTCTGCATCAATGCCTGATATGGGGATAAAAGGAGAGAAAATCATGGTGTGGCCTCCATCCTCCCCTGACCTCAATCCTATTGAGAACCTTTGGAGCATCCTCAAGCAAAAGATCTATGATGGTGGGAGGCAGTTCACATCCAAACAGCAGCTATGGGAGGCTATTCTGACATCTTGCAAACAAATTCAAGCAGAACTGTCCAAAAACTCACAAGTTCAATGGATGCAAGACTTGTAAAGCTGCTATCAAATAATGAGTCCTATGTTAAAATGTAACATGGCCTGTTAAAATGTTTAAAAAGTTAAAATGTTGTTATAAGTTTGATTGAAATAGCTTTTGATTTCAGTAAATATGCTGCAAACACAACAAATGACAATTTTCAGTTCTTTACAACCTATAAAGTGTTTTGATACTGTTATCATTAGGAGGTTTGTTCAATAAAATGTGAATTGTACTCTTGATAGTTGATAACATGAGAATTATGCTGACTGTTATTTGCATCAATTATTTAGGTAAATAAGAAAAATAATTTGCATAATAATTTGTAACAGGGTGTATAATTTTAATGGTAGGTGTATTTTAACAGTGAGAGACAGAATAAAAAATAAAAAAAATCCAGAAAAAGCATGTCAAAGAAGTTACAGTGAGGGGGCGGGGCCTGACCACCAAGATGGCTGGATATATACATATATATATATATATATATATATATATATATATATATATTAGAGTGAAATAAGTATTTGACCCCTTAAACTTAGCAAAACCCTTCTTGTCAATCACATAGGTCAGATGTTTCTTGTAGGTGGCCACCAGGTTTGCACACATCTCAGGAGGGATTTTTTTCTCACTCCTCTTTGCAGATCCTCTCCAAGTCATTAAGGTTTTGAGGCTGTTGTTTGTCAACTTGAACCTTCAGCTCGCTCCACAGATTTTCTATGGAATTAAGGTCTGGAGACTGGCTAGGCCACTCCAAGATCTTAATGTGCTTCTTCTTGAGCCGCTCTTTTGTTGCCTTGACTGTGTGTTCTGGGCCATTGACATGATGGAATACCCATCCACGACCCATTTTAATGCCCTGGCTGAGGGAAGGAGGTTCTCACGCAAGATTTGATGGTACATGGCCCGTCCATTGATCCTTTGATGCAGTGCAGTTGTCCTGTCTCCTTAGCAGAAAAACACCCCCAAAGCATAATGTTTTCACCCCCATGTTTGATGCTGGAGATGATGTTCTTGGTGTAATAGGCAGCATTCCTCCTCCTTTAAACACGGCAAATTGAGTTGATACCAAAGAGCTTGATTTTGGTCCCATTTGACCACAACACTTTCACCCAGTTCTCCTTTGAATCATTCAGATGTTTATTGGCAAGCTTCAGACAGGCCTGTACATGTAATAAAATTAAATCCTAATAGTCAGAAAACTATTTTGGCTATTAGAAAATAGATAAGAAGCTATAAGACAAATAATTAGTTAGATAAAGCTCTTAAACTGGAAAGACAGGATCTCATCAAATCATATTCACATATACAAATAAATAAATTAAAAGAGTATCCAGGAGCTTATATTAACAATGATATTAGCACATGTATTGTTAAAATAATCACAAAAATTGGAAAACCAAAAGAACTTAATAATAGTCCTATTCCAGAAAGTCCAAATAGTGAATTGCACATCAGATCAGTCCAAAACAAAGGAGAGAATACAATGTATCATAAAAGCCTCTAACTTGCAAAGATATTCTTTGCAAGGTTAAGCAAGGTTAATATGAATTTAATTTACATTCATATGAGAAGGTCTTAACATAGAGAAAAGAAGAAAAGAAAAAAGGAGATAAAAAAGGGGCAATGAGAATTTGTAAAAAACAATAAATTTAAATCAGATTGGGCTTGTTAGTATAGCAGACTAACACCCTGATTGATAGTCCAAAGCAGCAAACTTGGATAGCTGCCAAAAAATGTATATAACTGTAAAAAACAAAAAATGTATCCTGAGTTGTTATGCTTTAGTATCCAATTGATATTTGAAAAGTGTCCATTTGTGTCAAAAAATATGCTTATAGAAGTTGATATTAAAAAATGTATGAACTTCTATTCACATCAAAATCAATAACATTAAATAATTTTAAAAAATCTTAAAATACTGAGTCAGAAATATTCCACAAGGGTATATCTGCATGAGAGAAAGTAGAGAGCTGGAAAAGTTGTTCCAGCACAACCCACAAATGCTTAATTGGATTGAGACCTGGGGAATTTGGAGGAGAAGGCGACACCTTGAACTCTTTGTTATGTTTCCATTCCTGAACAATTTTTACAGTGTGGCAGAATGCATTATCCTGCTAAAAAAGGCTACTGCTATCATGGTACACTATTGCCATGAAGGGTGTATGTGTTATGCAGCAATATCCTGTAGGTGGTATGTGTTAAAGTAACATCTACATGAATGCCCGAACGGCAGATCATTTCCCATAGCATAACACTACCTCCACTGGCCTGCTGCTGCTATTTCTTCCCCAGGCAAACAAAGCACGTCACCTGGCTGAAACACTAAAACCAGTATTCATGGTGACCGGAGTAGCCCTTTAAGTCAGTATATGTGGGAGAGGTGGTACCTAGCAATGACCACAATGCCACAACAAAGTTTTATTATTCATTTTCTATCTGGGCTTTTACATTATAACAGATGTTTAATTATATAATCTTCCAGTACTGATGATCTTTTTTCAGTTCAGTTATGACTACAAACACCAAAACATCACATCGTGATTGGCCACCATGCTGTTAATTGTTTTATACCTTTTACTGATACACAGAGAGAGGGCTGAAACAGTTTAAGCATTTTAATTGAAAATGGGATTACATCTACTCAGTTGGGGGTAATCTAGCAGCAATTACAAAGCATTCATACAGTTTCCATTTATAGGTACAATGCCTATCTTTCTCACAAGAACAGTATGTGATTGCTAACATGAAGGAAATCTTTTTATTAGCATTTATTTGTTTTGCTCTTGGATGTTGCATCATAATAATTTCCCCTGCTGATTCTGAAAATTAAACTCTTTTTAAAGCAACTAAAAATAAAAGATCTGTTATTAAATCATCTTTGAACTGGTGGAAAAATGTTACTCACACTTAATTAGATACTTCTAATATTAGTCTGTATATAAAAAATACTCAAGCTCAAGCTAAAATGCACATGCTTTCAATAACACACATTAAATAATTATAATCCAACTTTGGGTTATGGATTGAATGGGTTTCAAGATTTCACTTTGTAGCTATTTTATTATTTTCACATTCAGTAATCTCTAATACCTCTACTAATTACTATTATTATTTATAGACCTAAAAGTTTTAACTATGCACTAGGGGTTATCTACTGCAGGTTAAGTTAGATAGAATTAGCACCTAGCTTGTAGAATGCTAACTTGGGGGTTCAAAGTAAAAAGTCAGTGGTAAGACTATTGCAACTATCTCACAGCCTGGTTCAGTTACTGGTGCCTAAAACTTTCCATCCTTATGTCACAATATGCTGGTCTTCAGCTCCTAGACGGTGAAGTCACCAAGAGTCATAAGATCTTCTACACTTGTTATGAGTGATATGTCAGAGTAAAAAAGGTCTATGGAAAGTAATGAGATTGTGAAAATTTCTTGATCATTCACAAATAGAGTCCATAGGAATCCATTTCAGTCCCTGGCTGGAGGAGTCTACCCAAAATCAAGCATTTAGAGACTGTACACCAGCCGGAAGGAGGTCGGGCCTGATGAATATTAAGGTCACAGTCCTGGATGAAACACAGAGCATCCACAAGTACATCATGGAGATGGCTCCCAAAGATGATCTGCTAAAAAAAATGCCTGAAAATTCAACAGATACAGTATGCAGAAAACAAAGAGGTCCAATGGCAAGACAAACCTCTCCCGGGGGTGGACCACTGGCAGATACTGGATATGTGACAAAATCCTACCAGTGGTTTGAAATGGCTGAACTGTAAGACAGCACAGTGGCACTAATCCTAGACACCCAGGGACACTTAGCACCAGTTCAATAAAAGTGGGAATCTACTACACTAAGCAAGACCCAAGGTGCAAATGCGCCTCTGAGACAAACCAGCAGATAGTGGCCGGTTGCAAGATGGTAGCAGGAACAGCATACATGGAAAGGCACAATCAAGTTGTTGGGATTGAGTAATGAAACATCTGCACAGAGTCCAGTCCAGATGGGAGATACCACAAAGGTTAGTTTAGAATGACAGGGCTAAGATAAGATCCTGTGGGAGTTCCAGATCCAGATAGACAAGCCTGACATTGTGGTGATAGCCAAGGAACAGAAGGCTGCAGTGGTGGTGGATGTGGCAATACCCTGTGACAATAATATCAGGAAGAAGGAACATGAGAAGATGGACAAATACCAAGGACTGAAAGAACATGTGGAAAGGGATAGCAGTAGAAGTCCCAGATGTGATAGGAGTACTCAGAGCTGTGACTCCCAAGTTGGGGGAGTGACGTTAACAGATTCCAGGTGGGACATCTGAGATGGCTGTCCAGAAGAGTGCACTTATAAGAACAGCTAAAATACTGCGCAGAACCCTTAGACTCCCAGGCATCTGGTAGAGGATCTAAGAATAAATATACCACCCAGGGAGAAGTGAGAATATCAAAGGTATCAAAGGAAAATGTTTACAGTTCATCTTACCCAATGGTATTCTAGGGATCATTGCATAACTTTAAGAAGGCAGAAACTGGTAACTGTTTTTTAAAAAAGCCCAACAATAGTTGAGATATTTTCACACTAATAAGCACATTTATGATTGTGGACACCATTTATGTTACTGCCAGACTTAAACATGCATTCTCTAGTTGGATATTACATTTGCAACACATCTTTCCAGATCAGTAGAACATTTGCCTTTATTTAGACTTCAGTTGCATAGTTACATAGTTACATAGGCTTAGAAGAGAAATGCGTCCATAAAGTTCAGCCTTTTTTTTACAATTTTTTTTCTGTTGATCCAAAAGAAGACTAAAAAAAAAAACAGCTTAGAGAAGCTTTCCAATTGTGCAATAAAATAGGAAAAAATCCTTCTTGACCTCAGAGTGGCAGCTAGGTCTCTCCTTGGATCAAGAAGCTTTAACATCGCTTTGCATCGGTTATAGTCAGGATCTGTAATAGGACGCATCTAGTGTGCCAAGTTTCAGCAACAATGCTGATATTTCATCATATCTAGATTGAGGCTAAATGGAAATTTTACATTTTCAATTACATGGTCCCTCCCTGAGTGCTGCCATTTTAAGTGATCTTCAATTCAGAGCAATTTTCACAAAACAGAAAATCAATCTCCTTTGCCATACACCATGTACACATTGTGATAAAAATGTTAACATCGGCCACACATTCACAATTACTCTTAAAAGCTAAAATATAGGATACTTAATTGACCTGTTTTTTATTGAATAAACACACCATCCACACCCATGGATGATGGCTGAAATCATTACAATGTTAATGTGCTGCTGAGCAAAGCAGAGTGATATTTGGTGTGTTTAATTAACTACTCTCAACCAAGCATAACTTAAAATGGCAGCATTAAGGGATCAATTATGACTTGGTTATCGGTGAAGATTCTACTTCACCTTACTATTAGCCTCTAGATTTAAAGATTAGTTTTGTTACAAGCTGCAATTTGTGTGTATTCTGGTCATTCGGGTGATAAATTCCCTAACTTTGAGCGCTACTTTAGACGAATCATGAACCAAACAAAGTGTGCAATGGTCATATATGCTTGTTGTGATTCATAATTTGAAATTCCATCCATGGCACAAAAAAACATATGTTTGATTGGAAAAAAAAGAGGATTTATGGCTAGGGGACAGGCAATACATTTTAGTTTTTATTTACAGAGTAATAGAGGGGAAAAAAGGATGAGCACTAATCTATATTTCTATATTACACATTTAACTCCTTAGTGACCAGACCATTTTTCAATTCTCTTACCGTTAGGACCAGGGTTGTTTTTACATTTCTGCGGTGTTTGTGTTTAGCTGTAATTTTCGTCTTACTCAATTACTGTACCCACACATATTATAAACCGTTTTTGCTCGCCATTAAATGGTCTTTCTAAAGGTACCATTACTTTCATCATATCATATCAAGCCAGCAAGCTGAGCGGATGCATGAAAGCTGGGCTCCTGCTCTACTTGCTGATTTTCTTACAATCACTCGCCAAACTCGAGAAACTAAGTAAACCGGGGTGCCCTGCCTATGTCAGGGGTGACCTGGTGATCAGCCCGATATCTGAACCGAGCGTGTTGGTGAAAGGGAGCCCAAGATGGACAGCTGCGGCCTACTGATGGCAGAATCGGGGAGAGACGGAAATACCACGCAAATACCAGGCGAAGTTAGCCCTACCTGGGAGACAACTGCGGTACACTGAGTCAATCCAGGACTGGACACGGCCGAGGGATCCCTGGCAGACTGCACCACAACACTTCAGCCGACACCAACAAGAAGCAAACCCTTGCCCGGACATACCCTGGAGTAGACACCACCACCTGCAGTACATCGAATGGGGCTTGAATCTCACCGTTACAAAGACCTCCTGCATTGTACAGAGTGTACAGAGTGGCTGGATACATCATAGCAGGGTAGCAGAGCAGCTGGAACCCTGCACAAGACCGCCAAGCGGCATAGGATGACTTAGACTGGCATCACCAAGGTGCGCAGAGTCTGGGCTTCTTTTTTTATTTTTTCTCTTCATTTTTCAAACTTACATTAGCCCACTGTTTATTGACTATGAGTTGCATGACTGCGCTGCCTTATTATTATTTTTTTCTTGTCTCCAAATAAATTTTAGAGATGCTGGGAAGCCCCATTGAAATCTGATGTAATTTTTTCCTTAAGAAATCTGTTACTGTTGAGAAGGATTTTCTCCAAGTCCTAGTAAAATGAGATAAGTCTTACAAAAATATGTCTTTGTAGATGAGATTTGTTTGGGGTTTTGTACGGCTGGCTTTAATTAGATTATATTTTACTGATAGTGAGCAAAAACTCACTATCACATCTCTTGGAAGATGCGAAGCAATTATATTAGGTTTACGAATTCAATGAAAATTTTCTATTTGATAGTCGACTGTAGACATTTCAGGAAGAACCTCTTTTAATAAGTTATATAGATAATATTTTAATTTTTCTGTAGTAATGTCTTCAGGCACGGCTCTGAGGCTTATGTTACTTTTTCTTGATCTATCTTCTAAAGCTGCTATTTTTTGTTCAAGATTTTCAGTTTTGTTTGATAAAGACTGCATTGTTGTCTTAATTGTACTTATTTGAGTCCCAAACATTTCAAATTTATTTCCACTTCTTCCACTGATACTGCAATTTGTTTAATATCTTGTTTGATATCGCTAAAACTTATAAGCATATCTTGTTTTAATATGTTGAGTTGTGACTCCAGCAATTGTTTAAATTGATCTTGTGTACTGCTTGTAACAGTTACATGATATTGTAATGGCGTTTGAACAGTTGGAGTTTCCAAATTAGTATTTGAGGTATTTACCGGGTGTGTCAAGCATTCAATTTTCTGTTCCTGTGAATCTTAGAAGGAGTTGTAAAAAAAGCCAGATAGCCTCTTTTCTGTTGGCTGAACTGCTTTAATTTCCTTCTTTTTTTCCGTAGTAGTTTTTCTAGTTGCTATTTTATTTCTTAAATGAAGCTACTACAATAGGGCTTTAATAAAATCATAATCAACCTTATTTATTGTGACTAAAAATAAAAAAAGTTTCAAATCTTCAAGAGGTTTATTTCAGTTTTTTAATATTTCCTCCCCTTCTCTCTTTACATCTTCTTTTTCTTCTTTCTTTCTCTTATTTCATTAAATCTTTCTTATTTTCTCAGTAATTGACAACTTCTGATGTTGTGTTTTAATTGTCAAATATCAGTTTTGCTGCCTTATGGTGATTAGATTAATTATATGCCCTAATTGTAGCCTTAATTAAATTACTTTCGTCAAAATTTTGACCGTTTCTTAACGGTTAAGTAAATGCATTGAAAAATTATGGCTTTCAGTTATAACTAATTGTTGTATATGCTTTGTCTCAGACCAATATGGTACTCACAATTTTTCCTCTTTACAATAATCCTTTGAAAGACTTTCTGTTTTTTTTTTTTTTTGTATGCTCATGTATGCTCGTCCAGAGTAACTTCCAAAGGAAAATGTTTTTACCTCCGAAGGAGCTCTGCGTTCGCTATATCGTTATACTGTCAGTACTTGCTTGTGTTGTTTGAATTACTGTAATACTATTATGATCTCCCGAGTTTCATATCCAGCCAGATAGTTTCAGCGTGGTTAGCTTGTCTCCACGCTCGTCTTCTTCATCTCTGTTTCAGACACACCCACCTCTAGCACGTGTGGCGTCTCATGTCATCACTTACCCCGTGGGAACAAGATTTTGGAAAGTAATTTCCCCTACCCCTTTGGCTACAAACGCTGCAAATGACACGGTCATCCTTTCGCGCTGCCTTATTATTATTATTATTATTTGAATTGTCTCTGCCTCATCTAAATGCCCAGTGGTAGATAATCACATGTACCTAAGCACATGTCACACACAACATGTCGACTAGCTGACTCATTCACACCGATTATGCCTGCAACCAACTTACACCGTGCTTCTTGCTATTTAGCCATTCAACTCCCTTGATAATCTCACCTGTTACATATATGGTTTAGGGCAACCGGCATTATTATCAAAACGATGCTCATACACCTACTCAGCCCTAGAGGCATCACTACTCACGTAGGCTTCAACTACGTTTAATCTTTATAAGTTTCTGAGATTACTCAAACTGTCTATTTTACTCCACATAGTTATTAGCCTGGATGAAACTAATGTTATAGACAGCCCTACCTAGTCTGACCGCTTTACAAAAAATTGTGCTGTTAATGCTTGCCATGTTACTGAATATCTTGTGTTATTTCATCAGCTTGTATCTGCTGTCATGGCGATATAAGCGTGTCTGTAATTCTAAGCACTACAAAAATAAAGAATTAAAAATTTTTTTTATAATATATGGTGACAAAAAACACTTTTTCTAATTTTGACCCCCAAAATCTGTTATGCATCTACAACCGCCAAAAAACACCCATGCTAAATAGTTTCTAAATTTTGTCCTGAGTTTAGAAATACCCAATATTAACATGTTCTTAGCTTTCTTTTGCAAGTTTTAGGGCTATAAGTACAAGTAGGACGTTGCTCTTTCAAAATCTATATTTTTTTAATTTATCAACAGTGACATTGTAACACTGTTATCTGTCATAAATCTCTGAATCACACCTTACATGTACATATGTTTTTAAAAGTAGACAACCCAGAGTATTCAATATGTCACAAACACTGGCCAAAGTTAGCATTTATATTTGTTTGTGTGTTAAAAATGTCAAAAACAATTATGAACACTAAATTTGGCCAGTGTTTGTGACTAAGTGGCTACTAAAAAAGACTGAACATACCCCATTTGCAATACCTTGGCTTGTCTTCTTATGCAAATAGTATGCCATCATGGGGGTAATTCTCATTCCTGGGCTACCATACGCTCTCAAAGGCAACATAAGCAATCTGGCAAATTTCAATGTGAAAAAAATAAAAAATCAAGCCTTATATTTGTACCTGTAACTTTCAAAAGCACTATAAAACCTGTACTTGGGGGTACTGTTATACTCAGGAGATTTCACTGAACACAAATATTAGTGTTTCAAAACAGTAAAATGTATCACAACAATATCATCAGTGAAATTGCTGTTTGTGTGTGAAAAATGCAAGAAAAACCGTCACTTTCACTGACAATATCATCACTGTGATATGTTTTACTGTCTTCAAACACTAATATTTATGTTCAGAGAAGTCCCTCGAGTAAAACAGTACCCCCCATGTACAGGTTTTAGGGTGTCATGGAAAGTTATAGGGTTAAATACAGTGCTAGCAAATTAAATTCTCTGGACTTTCAGCCTGGGTTGTCAGGCAGGTCCCTCAAATTGCAATCAATAAAATTACTTAGTTATGGAAAAATATTACATAAATATGCACGTAGAATTTAAATATATATGCATATTTATATATTTGAAGTCTACGTGTATATTTATGAAATTATTTATGTAAGTATGTATATGGACATATGTATATTTCGTATTATTTTTATTTATTTATTTATACATAGAGATATATATCATTACATTCTAAGTGTATTTTGATATATATATATATATATATATATAAATATCAAAATACTGTTAGAATAAAATTACATATATATATATATATATATAATTTTTTATTATTAAAAATTATTTTTACTTTTTGTTGTTTATTTTTATTAACATATTATTTATAATTTATAATATATATATATATATATATATATATATATATACAATATATAGTTATTATATATTGTGTATATATATACGTGTGTAATTTAAATATAAGTGTATTTTTATATTAATATATGCATATATAAATATAAAAATACACTTAGTATGACATTATATATATGATATATATACATATGTTAAATATAGATATATATACATATTATTATTTTTTACACTGATTGCTTTATTTTTTTACTTTATTTTTGATTTTCCACTTGCAGGGAGACTGCCTGTCAGCACAGACAGTCCCCCTGCAGGCAGATACACAGGCACCTATTGCGGCCACGTGATCGAGAGATCACGTGGCCGCGGGGTCCTGATCTGCCGTGTGGAGATTTATATAGTGCCAACAAATTCTGTAGCGCTGTACAATGCATATATATATATATATATATATATATATATATTCATATCAAAATACAGTAAGAATAAAATTACACATATTTTGTTTTATTATTTTTTAAAAATATAGTTTTATTATTTATTTATTATTTATATTTTATAATATATATATATATATATATATATATATATATATATACACAATATATATAGTTATTATTTATGCTATACACGTGTGTAATTTAATTATAAGTGTATTTTTATATTAATATATGCATATATTAATATAAAAATACACTTAGTATGACATTATATATATAAGATATATATACATATTATATATAGATATAATATATGTATGAATATCTCATATATATATTTATATATATATATATATTTTTATAATTTTCTTTTTTTATTAACATATTTTATTTTATTTTATCAGAAGCAGGGAGACTGCCTGTCAACACTATGAACGCCTATTAGGAAACAGTGGCGATTGGGTAAGTAATATATTTGCCACAGAAGTACTTGGTAGGTTCGCGGTCCTTAACGACCATTTTTGTCCTTAAGGAGTTAAGAAACATAAAATATATAAATATAAATTTTTTTTATTTACTGTTCCTCCTCTTTTTCCCTCTATTGGTGACTTTTTCTCACTTGGTCTGTGAACTAAATGGCAGAAAAATTCACCTATCACTGTACTGCTAAATATATACATTTATATTTTTCAGTATGCCAGTCAGGTAATTTGTGTACTCTTTTGGTTCACCTGATTTGGTTTCCCAAATAATTTTTCATATACAAAATGTGGTCGAGCCGTTTGTCTGAATTTTTTTTTCTTTTCAGCAGAAGTGATTTACATAGTTACATAGGCTGAAAAGAGGCATGTGTCCATCAAGTTCAGCTTTTCTCACATCTGTTTTTTGTTGTTGATCACACAGAATTCAAAAAATCCAGTTTGAAGTACTTCCAATATTGCAACAAACCAGGGGGAAAAAAATGTCTCGACCCCAGAATGGCAGTCAGATGTATCATTGGATCAAGATGCTATTACTCTATAATTTAAAAATTATTTCCCTCAATATTTTGCTTTTGCAAGTATGCTTCCTGTTGCTTTTTAAACATCTAAGTAAAGTTTTCGGCCTACAATCCTATTTCTTGTTTTATGAGTTCAGGTATTTAAACAATGCATGGTTTTTATAACTGTTTACATAAATTATATTCATGAAAATATCAACATATTACTACATTAAAATATATATCTATTTAAAAAATTTCCTCTGAGCTACTTTTTGATAAGCATTCTGTTGTGAGCAAATAGCAAAAGATAAACATAGTATCCAAGATTGTTAAATTTGAAAATATGATTAGATAATGCAATTTTAAACAACATTATTTAAATGATCCACATCAAGCTGTTTATGTGACTAGATCTAAACACAATTATGTACTCAAGTACAGGCTAAACTGGATTGACAGTTGTTTAAAGCTATATGTGTAAAGTGTGTCCTGTTTTTTTCATTTGGCAAAAGTGCATATTTCAATTCAAATTGACATTTTTATAAATTAACTTGGTTACACCACAATTATTAAATGCATGCATGTTTTCATTGGGGTTATATTTACTAAATAGTGATTTTGTTTATAGGAAATGGAGTGTCATGTTTCTATTACCTTAACTAATGGAACTCATTTTGTAAACCTTGGAATGTTAAAGTTATTCTATCATGAACCTTTGTCTTCAAGTGTTTTGTTTTGTTTTTGAAACTATATTCTTTATTAGAGTATTATTTGTTTTTCACAGTAAGACATCACGTAAAAAAACAAAAAGGAACAGATAAAGACATATTAACAAAACATGTTTACAGACAATGCATAAAATTCTTATATCAGCCATGTTATATAAAATGTATTTTAAAATCAGTATGCTATTGATTGAAATTCTGTTTCATTTTTAAATAAATCATTATTTATTTTTTACTTAATAACTTTTCGTGTGTATTATCAGATGTGAAGTCAGATCATTTTTTACTCTTAAGTAAGTAACGATCTCGTTAGGAGGGAGGGTAAAATACTGTTGTAGTTGTTGGAAAGAGTTCATTGTATTTCCCTCTAAAATATCTATTATTTTAGTGGGACAGATCTTAACCAATACTTCAGCTGGAAATCTCCAACATTGTGTTCAATTGTTGTAAAAGCACTATATTTAGAGATTTTATCCTGATTTTTTTTTTAATTATAGTTCATCCAATTAGAATATAATTCTTTTAAATGTGGGGATTCAATTTTTGTAACAAAGCTATTCCCAGCCTTGTTGTTTAGCCAGGTCTAGTTTATTGCATATCAATGCTTCAATTTTATACCAGGGGTCTTCTCTAGAACTAGGGTCCTGCCATCTCCACAAGTGGTACATTCTACTGGCCTCATAATATTTTATGATATTAGGAACCCCGAGACCCCCCTTATCTGCTCTATTCATTATGTGGGATACTGCAATTCTTGGTCTCTTTTGTCCGCAAATTAAACTCATGAAGAGACAATGTATTTAAGTTTCCATTGTGGTATAGTTAAATGGATCATTCTGACATGTTAACATGTTTACAGCTTGAATATTTACAAACTTAGCATTTGTTCATATTTATTTTAATATTTTATTTCAATACACAGACAGTGGCTGGTACTATTTTCTAAATAACTAAAAATATTTTTTAAAAGACTCTTGACTTAAATTAAATCAACTTAACTTAAAACTTAAATTAAATATTGGGGCATCTTCATCTAAAATATTTTTTTCTGTGAGAGACATGCAATTTTATTTATTACAGAATATATTTATTCTTTATAAATAAAATATAATAGCTTCCTATAGCTTATTCATAAAGATATAAGAAATCTTAAAATGTTCATGTACCATCCCTTAAGAATAAAAAAGGTTATTATTTTATCATAGGATATTTTTTTTTTACTTTGATGTATATATTCAACTGGCTTTAATGTTTTTATATAAACATATATTCCCTAATGTAAACATACTTCTATAGCAAATCACTTGTGTATGAAGACTGTGAATAATTACAGATTTAAATGTCATTCATAGTTCAGCAAATTGTAATGTTATATTTATGCTTGTGTTTCTTTTTCCCCTCTCTTTTTTTTTTAATAAACTATATTGTTATTAATATATTAATCTGGCATTAACCAACACTTGAAAAAATTTACTACCAAGGAACAGCCAAACATCAATAAAAGGGTTACATGGAAACAAAAAATGGTAAGTTCTGTTATAAGTGCTGAGGGGGTTAAAACTGCTATAAATACATTAATATGGTAAACATCATATCAGCTTTTTGGATATGTAAAGTAATACAAAATAAAATGAATGTGGACATACCCATAGTAGAGTTTTCCTTAAATTGTCAATATTGTGTTGAACAATCATTAAAATCAATTTGGCAGACACTGTCAATTTATACAAGATGTCTACATATGGTAATACTAGTTTATAAAAAGGTCATTTTACATGCATAAACAATGGCATATCTTTCATCCTTTATATTTCATGTACTCCATGTTTTATGTTTCCCTATGAATTGTGCTCTAAGAACATGTAGGAAAAAGTATAAGGAATCATAATCCAATTTTAATTCTCATTAATCATTTTGGTTGAAAAGCATAGCAATGTAGCAAGTAATAGAGCTGAAAAGTCACTTCATATATCACAAATTAAATATTTTAATTAAATCTGGAAGGCATACCACCAGGAGGTATATATTATTTCATAATGACCCTTTCAATGCATCACAAACTCATAATAGTGGAAAAAGTCAGCACCATATGACTGTTCATTAAAGATCCTTATGTCTACAAATGACATCTCCCTAAAGAGGTCTATAAATTGTAATGCTAACCCATAAATTCGTAGTCCCATAATATCTACAGTCTTGACAAAATCTCTCTCCAACTGTCATTTCTATTACAGTATTCCTTGCACTTCCTTTTCTGTAATTTAAATCAAAAGGCGTTATATTCAAGTAAATAACCCAGGACGTCTATAATGGGTTCCAGGGACATTCAGGAAATTCTGTAAAGATGATTTTGAGATAATAGTAACTATGTTTAATATTCTCCTATGATATTACATGATATTACGGAAGTCAAAAGAGAAGTTAGAGATTACCAACATCTGGTTTTCCAAACTGATGTAGGGAGAGCTCTGATATGCTCCAATTTTCGAAACAGTTAAGTCTTACCTGCATCGAGTTCCTCTGTTCCAAAGTGATTTCTGTAGAACAGCATAAGTTCAATCTTATAACATTTGTAGATGGTGACAAGACAAACAAGCAACAGTAGAATAGCCCCAAGGCCTCCAGCAAGTTCAACAGTGTACATAAGCTCTGTAAAACAATGAAAACATTTTGAAAACATTACGATGGATTATTTGACAAATAATCCTAACATTTCTTAAATTCTTCATTCTTCATTGAAAAATGTATAAAGTAGATCTCTAGAACTGTGAAAAAATATTGTGGTACATGCAAATGTTTTAAATAGTAATTACTAAATTGTCGATGGTGTGGACAATAGACGTAGTTTGGAGTACTGATATCTATACATTTTATTTTATTTTTTTCTTATTTTTTTCTCCCTCAATATTTATAAACTAAGCATGGGTTGAAGTAATGAAACCCCCATTGCCCAGTTGTAGTCTACACAATGTGTAAAGCATTTCTTGATTCATAAATTGACCAATATAATATATATAATATAATATATTCCCTTTGATATTTCCATTTTTTTAATCTTTTGAATATTTAGATTTTAACTGTATCACACATAAATGAGTTAATATGCTGTCTTTTCAAAGTTAATAACAAATAATACTACCTACAATATAAATATATGATGAGCTCTAAATAACAATAAAACTTACACATTTTATAGCTTCTGGCATAAATAATTAGTTGTGTTTTTGCATGCTAAAGTTTGTAGAGTTTTTACAAAAATAAAATTGTGTCACAGCATGCTACCATGCCTCCTGGTTTGAGTCTACCCGATTCTAAAATAATACTTTCTTGCTAATTATATACAGCATAGCCTGCAGTACTAATACAGTTGTACGTGTCATCAGGAAGCACAGCAAAGCTTTTTAGGAGCCGTAGTTCAACTAACAGCTTTCATTAGTAGAAGGCTGATAAACTGTAAGCCATTGAAACCCCTGTTCTCAGCAGAACTCAGACTGTACACAGAGATCTGTGATTTCTGCTAATCACTCCTGCCAATATGCTTTAACATGTGCACTGCTAAGTTTAATATGTCCAAACATGTAGACTCTGTAGACCAGAATGTGAGGCCCATGAATGGCCAAGGTAATTTGTGGAAGAGGCAACACTGAAGACTAACATTGTAATGTATCGGAATCTTTAAAGTATCTGTTTTATATTTTATTATTCTGGATTGGTTGTTGTATTTTAGTTTTATTTTTTTTAAATGCATTATCTGTGCCAGAAATTAAAAAGAAGCATGAGTCAATTGCTTTGTGGCGTGCCCCTTAAAAATTAGCATTTTATAAGGCATTGGTTATGCTTTCTTTTTTACATTATCTATTGCTTCATAGAAATACACTATGGCAGTAGCTAAAACCAAATAGCATCTCTCTGGGGAAGCAATCTGTTGTCTAAATTTAAATATTGATTTGCTATGTATTTATTTATTTTAGAATTAGTATGTATATTGTATATTTTCTTCAAGAACCAAAAATAACACAATGTAAGCGCCTAGAAACAAAAACATTTTTTATAGTTTCGTAAGGTTGCACTCATCATTTTTTAAAGTTTGAAATAACAGCCATGCTATTTCAGTCTTAGGAGAGATTTATAGTATCTCCCAAATAACAGCATTTACAAAATGTAATTTAAAAATGTCTATGAGATGTTTTTAAATTATGTGCTTTCTGATCATGATGTTTTGGCATTCTGTCCCACAATATGGCCCTTGAACAACAAATGATAACAGTACAATTGTAGCTGAAAACTCTTTCAACAGCCTTGTTTTTCTATTATAGTGTCTTTAAATAAATTATATAAATAAATAAAATGTATATTTTTTATTACATTTCTAATATTTTATACTATAAAAATATTACTTACTATTCGTCTTGTTTTACTCCAGAATAGTTTATCTTCTTTGTGTTCAAAATAATATTTACTGTCAGGGTTATTTACCTGTGAGAATTCAAAGAACTTGCAAAAACGTACTAGAAAAAGAAATTAGCTAATAGGTTCTAGGAAAGAGTCTGGTTGGTGAAACGCGTGCATCAGGGGTTCAGCTATTGCTAAACTTTTTGCTGGAGCTATTTTTGCTACTTTTTATTTTTTTTTTATTTTAACTACACATTTTTTTACACAGGCAAGTTCTGTTCATAGTTTATACATTACTGAATACAGTTTAGGGAATCCTAGTAACATTAGAGTTGCTGTTTTCAGTATTTAGTGATAGGTGCCTTTGAAGGAAATGTTAGGGCAAAATAGTTTTAGCAACAGTTATACCCTTGATAGTTAATGCATTTCCTGTACCGCTTTAGACTGTCACAGATTGCTGCAGGTATCCGAGTCTTTTTTCTTTACACCTCTGTCAGGGATGATTGGTCCTCTTAAGTAGTTTGAACAGACATGCGATTCTTTGTCATAGGTCTAAATGCTTTCTAGTGACATTTAAGATAATTTTACCAATCTTGATCTTATTCCTCATGTAAATTATATGTAAAGTGCCTATCTTTTATTAGGCTTTATTAGTTTGTTATGTATTGGGTTTACAGTTAATCTTACGATATTTTATTGATATGTTATTAATAATCATGTTGTTTGTGATATTATATATTATAATAATAAAAGTTATATTTTTTACACATCTAAGTCAAGGAAAATACTTTTTTTATTGTAGAATTCTAAATTCACTTGTTGATACTTGATATTTCCTGATTTAGCAAATAAACCCCCTTGAGAAAGGCTCATTTCTTTAAAATAAAAGATTGGTTCTAAAAATGATGAAGTGTTTCCAGAAAATGTACATTTCTGTCACAAACATAAAAAATTGTCTAAATAGTTTTATTAAGCACAAATAATTGAAAACGATCCAAAAAAAGCTATATACTTTTTCCACTTTTTCAAATTTTGGTATGGGCAAGTTGATAATCCAGACGTTCTTGTTTTTTTACAGCGTGTTTATCATTTCATACAGTGGCACATCTGCTTGTTAGTGGCAGGAGACATACACAGACATACAATTCATTAACTAATAGGTTGCTTGTTGAAATCTGTGCAGCATTTGCTCTTTTGTTATGAAATGAAACAAAGAATCCAACTATAAGAGTATTAAATTAAAATGTTTTGCATATATTTTGCAGTTAATTTCTTGGCATATATTTACTGTACTGTCTGGACGTTTTAATTAATGAGAAACACAATGCTGAATTTTGTTTCTCTTTGAATATAAATATATCTGTTAACACTATTGGGGTTATTCACTAAAGACTTGTTTTATTTCCCAATGGACAAAATCTGGTAAAAATGAGCGACTTCCAAACATATTGACAATTTCAGTTGCTTCTAAATTTGAGGTTAACTATTAACATAGTTAAAACAAACTGCCTGTACTTTTGTACAGGGAAGGTTGTTTACTTCCCCATGCCCCCACTCACCATACCGCAAGTGATGGCATGTCTGCTAAACAACCAGCAGCCAATGATGGCTAACTGTAATAAAGCACTTGGTGAAACTAAGAGAGTTTCACTCATATATATATAAAACCAAGAGGTCGGCACTAACCTGAACATACATTATAAATGTGCTCTGGGGCCAATTCACACAACATACAAGATCCAACGCACTCACTCATTCACTAAAAATATATTTCATTCAAAGCTCAAAGAATGTAATCGTTTTTGTTGGGGGTTCTTTTTTTTAAACACCTCACCTAGGCAAAAATAATGGGTGTTTAGTTACAGTATATGACGATAGATTGTATAAGTTTACCATTGTGTAAACAAGCAATAGGTTGCTAGGATCACCTGCCAAGAATGGGGTATATTGGTGTATTGACAGGCATATACAATGTATGATCATATACTGTAACTAAACCTCCATTATTTTTGCATAGGTGAGGTGTTTTTAAATAATAAAAATAAAAACAAAATTACATTCTGTGAGCTTTAAATGAAATTTCGGCTTGGTAAATAAGTGAGTGTGCTGGATTATATATATATATATATATAAATATATATATATATATTCTTTTTTATTTTTTTAACTGGCATTAGTTTTATTGGCCTTCCCTCTATGAATATCATTTTAAGATGGGTCGGCAGTGGCAATTGCATGCACACCCCAGTATATTTATGTAGAGTTTCCATCCACTGCCCATGAGTGGAGCTAGGCAGGGACATGAGTATTCTTACTGTTATTAATTTTAGAGACCACCCCGCTATCAATGGGTGTGCTGGGGAGCATTAATGAGTCAGTTTTATAGCCAGGTGCCAAGGACAGGACTATAACAATGATTGAAAAGAAGTTAATACAGAGGCACCTAATTACATGATAAACATGATAAAGATATGCAGATTTATTTGTTTAACCCCTTAAGGACCAACTTTCTGGAATAAAAGGGAATCATGACATGTCACACATGTCATGTGTCCTTAATGGGTTAAATAGATTTCTCACACCTCACAAATACATATGTTAAATATAGAAGAAAATATAATACTGAAATGCAAAACCCTAGAAGTAACAGTTCCCCTTTAAACGTGTTTCTGTTAACTGTGTTTCTTTCAAAAATAAAACTTTTTCTAAAATGTGCTTCAAACACACCATGTTTTTTTTTTCTCCTACTGCCTGCTGCGCTTAGCATTTCATCTTTTACAATGTAAAATATAGAAAGCCTATTAGAAGTTATTTATTTTTGTAATACTTTTTACTTTGAAGACAAAAAGCAAAATAAAACCAACATCCTTGCATTATTGTTCTTATCATTATCATCATTGGTAAAATATAGCCTCATACTGACAACATATCTAATTGTAGATTTTCCAAGCAACATCCCATTTTGTTTCAAGAAAGTTATTTAATCTATTCTGAAGTTGCAGACAAAGGTTTTAAAATTGCCAGAGTGATATATTATAACAATTTTTGGACGGGCTGCTGTTTTTTTTTGTTCTATGTTTAACAGAATTTGTTCTCACGCCTTAATAAAAGTACTGCCTAGTGAATATTATGCTGCATTTGGCTTCATGGCAATTCACAATTGTTAATTTAAGTCCTTTATAAATAAAGTTAGCTTATATATTTTTAAAAAAAAAACAAAGAAAACATTACCTGCACTCTGGCCTAAATCCCCATGTGCTTTTAAACAAAAATTGAGGCTCTTTGGTTTTATTCTAATGGCCATTTGAATATATAAGCTCACCTGCCACGTCAAGGCAAGCCTCAATAGGTGAGTTCCTACACTAGCCATTAGATATGCTGATATCAGCCAAGAGTCTCCAGTGAGACAGGAAGGGGTATTTTATAAACCCTTTAACATTTAACCCTTTATAGGGCTATATATTTTTTTTTGTTAAGAATATTTTTATTGTTCACTGTTCAGTAAGTTCACAGTTAGACCGTTTTTTCCAGTTTACAGTTGAAGTCAGGCAGCCGCGCAGGGCTGGGTAGGCAAATAACATAAAGATGAACATGGACTCATACATTCAGATATATACGGGAGTGATGACACATTCCAGTGAACCTTACCTTCAGGACTATAACAGAATGTACGTCTCCATAGGTCTGTCCAGCTAATTCCCTAACCACTTGGTTAGCCTGTGATAAGAATGACCCTTGCTGCTCCGTTGGCTTGGGTACCCAACCAAATGGGAATTGGAGTGCTAGGATAAAAGGGCCTCCTCTGTTCCACCCCCACTGGGGAGTGCTTATGGCCAGCGACCCAAGATCCCTCATCCTGTTGGGCCATCATTCCTGTATGTCAGCAGGGCCTGAAAGTCAGCAGGGTATGCGACCGTCAGCCAATACGTCCAGATGTCTGTGTAAGTTTGGGTATGTCCTTGGGCCATGAATGTCAGTTCTTCAAGTCATCTCAGCTCTTCCATTTTATCTAACCACAATGTCAACGGAGGGGGTGTCTCTTTTTTTCAGTAGAGAGGGACAACTTGTTTAGCCATGTTTAAGATTCAGATGGACATTGATTTTTTGTTTCTAGCTGTTGGGGTGGTGGTGTGGTGTAGAAGAAAAGGGACTGGGCGGAAAGGTGGGGTTTTGTCCGAGAATTTATGTAAGATGGTGTTGATCACCGACCAGAAGGACCTAATTTTAGGGCAGTCCCACCAGATGTGCAGGAAAGTGCCTTGTGCAGTTTGGCAACACCAGCAGTTCCCACCCAGAGCAGGATCAATGCTCCGGAAGAGGTGATGTGTTCTGTACCAGAGTGTGAGGACTGTTTCCTCGATTTTGCTACCTAGCACGCAGTGATGTACCAGATCACAGATCTTCCCCCATTGGCTCACTGTAAAGGTTTTCCCCAGGGTGACCTCCCATTTCCCCATGTAAGCAGGAGCTGGGATGTTCAAGCGTGTGTGAAGTAAGGCATACAGCAAGAAATACGGTATGTGGCTGTGGGTCGGGGTCAGTGCATTGTCTTTTAAAAGAGGGGAGCATCCTATGTAGGTCAGGTTGTTGGGGGATTTGTAGTTTATATTCTTTAACAGATTGAAAAACACAGAGATTAGCAATTCACTGTTCTTTATTTTTATTTTTTAAACTGAGATTGCAGCAGCGGGATCATCATAGGCAGATGAGAATGTTACATAATTAACTTTGTTATGTTTAATGTATTTTTTTTTTAGCTGACTCCTAAAAGGACGGATCACCTTGCCACTACCATTCATTTTATGTATTTAAAAAGAAATCTCTAAGAATTAAAAATAATATCAGCATATAAATCCCAAAATAATAAAAGAAAATTTGAGCAAATATTTGCCAGTCATTTCAACATGTTTAAAGAGATCCATTCATGAAAAATAAGTATATTAATGTTTTCAAGGCTCAACATTTCAAGTCCTATCCTACAAGTCAGGCCTCAGAGTTATTTCCCACTGCATGCCTGAAGGCTCCATAGTACAATCACTGGAGGGGTAGGGGGGTAGGGAGCTGAATTTCAGGGCTTGCCAGGGCTCTATTTTCACTTGCCAAAGACTAGGGAGTGAATGGAATTGTTAAGCTGTTTGTCATTAACAAATCAAATAAAAACAATTGAAATAGCTCAACAAAATAAATGATTTAAGTGGATTCCCATAATTTAACAAAAAAACTTACTTATACAGACTTCTCCAGTCTCAAAATTATTCAGCTTCTTCATGGCAAGCATCTTTAGTACTTAGTAGAGCACCCTTTTGCTGTTATGACCTGCTGCACATGAGATGCATAGCCAGACACCAGCTTCTGGCAGCATTCCTGAGGAATATTTGCCCATTGCTTCTGAACAATGGCCTCCAGTTCAGTAATATTCTTCGGTTTGTGTGCTGCAACCGCCTTCTTCAAATCTCACCAGAGATTTTCTATGGGGTTCAAGTCAGACAACTGTGATGGCCCTCCACTAATATTGGTACGCTTGGAGCATATGAACAAAGAGGCTGTGAAAAATTGTCTTTATTGTTTAACATTTTGATTTTATGTAAAAAATAAAAAACACACAAAAATAATTTACTCTAATGTATATCAAACAATTGCAAACACAGGTTTAAAAAAAAAATACAATCTGTGTTAAATATATGTGTGGCACAATTATTGGCACCCTTTAGTCAATACTTTACGCTACCTCCCTTTGCCAAGATAACAGCTCTGAGTCTTCTCCTATAATGCCTGATGAGATTTGAGAAGACATTGGAAAGGATCTGAGACTTTTCATCCATTCAAAACCTCTCCAGATCCTTCAAATTTTAAGCTGAATGCTGATGGATTGTCCTCTTCAGTTCACAAAATAGGTTTTCTTTGTTTAACGAATGTGTGGCACAATTATTGGCACACCTATGAATTCATATGAGAAAAATATATTTTAAGTATATGCCCATTGATATTTAATTTTTTTTGTACACCTGGGTGACTAGGAACAGGAAATTATTTAACATAACTTCCTGTTTTACAGGGGTATGAATATAAAGTAAACACGCAATTGGTAAGCACAAGGAATATAGCTTGCCATATGTGTCAAAAGGTTGTTGAGCTTCACAAAATCAGAAGTGGCTATAAGAAAATAGCAAAAGCATGAAAAGTGCCCATTTCCACCCCTGGAAATGTTATAAATTAACCTGAAGTAGGAATTGTGTCTATGTCTACATGCACTGTGAAAAGGATGGTTGAAGTGGCCAAAAAAAAAATCCAAGGTTCACAGATAGAGAATTGAAGTCAATTGCAGTCACCTGCATCACAATAAGTTGTTTAAAAGGGTTTCAAGAAAAACACCTCTACCCTCATCCAAAAACAAAGTCAAAGTTATTCTATTTGCCAGACACTACAAGAACTTCAAATGGGATCAAGTTCTATGGTCAGTTGAAACCAAAACAGAACTTTTTTGCAATAAACACAAGAGGTGAGTTTGGTGCACACCGAGAGGTTAGCCACAGGAAAAGTACCTCTTTCCCACATTTAAATATGATGAGATTCTGTGTGACGGACTGGTCTCAGATTTTTTTTCCCCATGTATTCTCCAATCTCATCAGACATTATGGGAGAAGACAAAGAAGATTTTTTTAATTTTTTTGGTTAAACCTGTGTTGTATTTGAAATTGTTTTATATTTATAAGAGCAAAGTATTTTTGTGTATTTTTGATCAAAAGATGAACAAAAATACACTTTTTTTCACAGCTTTTTTTTTTTTTTTTTATCAGTATTGCTTGAGGGTACTGTATAGTGGCTGTCATCCATTGGCTGTATGTAAGATAACATGCCTGGAATATTTAATTGAAAGTATTGTCTCTTACAAAAAGACCAGCTTTTTTTCACATGCTAGATGATACTACAATTGTATTGCAATGTTTCATGCAGTAGATATATTTGTAATTAAATGTATTAACCAAAATATGCATATATAGGAGAGGATGCTTGCAAAATACATCCATTAAATATGAGATGAAATCATGAATACATTTAAATCATGGGTAATGTATTTCACAAATATCTATGGCAACAAGACCACTGAATTTAGGGATAATGACTAGTATTATTCCCCAAAACACATGAATAAAACTCTTTAAATGGTTATATTTAAGCTCTCAGCAGAGACTTAGTTGCAGTGCAATAACAATAGTCCTCGGGTAGCACAATTGTCGATTAAGGAAAAAAAATATTGATTTAAACTACAGCACTAGATTGTTTTCTGAATAAATTGCTTCAATTTAAACCAGATTTGCAGAAGTCAATTTGACCAATGGTTACACTATTTCCTTATCAGTATGATTTTCTCTGGCATTGTGGTTAAAGGAACAGCTAATTAAAATAAAGTGCATGCACCTTCTCAAAATATTGAGCGATATGATCAGTAATAAATGTGTTTCTTTTACACTAATCCAACTTTAATTATCTGGTGCACTTCGGGGTTCTATCTCTGATCTGCACCTGGCTTCAAATTGTTATAAACTTTCTCTACAGTGTAACGTGTGCAAGTTACTTTTCAGTAAATGCTGACGTACAAGGATACACAGAAAGGAACGCTAAAAATAAAGATTCTGTGGAATGCGTGATGTCTGGGAACATGCCACTATTCTTCACTGACTGATTTGATTCTCAGAATGAAAATAAATTGATATTTTGCAAGAAATACAACATATGAACTTCAGAAATTAGAAATTTTTTAAAAGTGTACAAATTTGGTTTTAACACTATAGTATAACTATTATGTATTAATCAGGATATATAATTTGTTAAAAAATTGGACATACTTTCGAGTCCGCATTGTGCCTGAAGAATTTAACTTGATAGCATGTTTTTTTTACCTGTTCCTGTCAAAATGTCAGCATGCCCTATCCTGGAATAAATTAATTCTGCAGTTAATTGAGCCCAACAAAATTAATTTTGCATTGATGGACTTCTTTATTGTTGATCAGTAAATTAAAGGACACAGTACATTCATGCTAAAAAAATCAATACATTTCCCTCTTTATCTGTGCTAGGGTACTCTCCAATCAGGGACTTCTCATTGGGCACAATTGTGGAGTGTTCTTTTAAATAAAGGGCAATAATTACTAGTGAACAAATAATGAAACTGGCACATTCACGATTATATGCTTAAGCCTGAATTTGGTCTAGATGGTCAAAATTGTCATATTTATTAAAAGCAATGTCAGTTGAAATTTGTCTATTTCAACCAAACGAGCACATGTTATTCCATACCAACAATGCATTCTTTGAATTTCTAATATGTAGTTTGTAATCCTTATATGTAAGGCCTATATATATAAAATATATAATTTGCATATTTTTAAAATGTCGTATTTCAAATGGATACACTTTGGCCAAATCCAGTAAAGTCATTTGATGTTATAGTATACATTTGAATTATGTAATAAATATGTTTTTGTTCTTTTTTTAAAATATATATAAGGGGAAAGTCACTAATTGTTGATTTTATTCACAGATCAAGTGAGAAGTGAGCAATAGAAGAGGTGTAAAAGAGGGACAGTATAAAACAAATCCCTCTGTTGGTTACTTTTTGTCACTTGATGTGTGAACCAGCGGATGACAACCACTAGAAGCTTTCTGACTGACAAATGTACATTGCCATTTCTCACAAACAGCATTCATAGTCAGACCACAGGGACAAAGTCCATATACAAAAACATAATTTTAAGTTTTAATGATTTTGGTGATTAGAGTGTGCTATTCAAAATCAATGGTATTTTTTATGCTAGGCCACTAGCAATTTGGGCTTTGTTGTTGTTGTTGTTCTATGCAATGGTTCATCTAAAATTTTACATTTAGAGGAGATCTGTCATTTCCACAAATATTTAATATTATGATTACTTGTCCCTATATTTATACATTAACATTGAATTTAATGTAGAAATTTGTACATCTTTATTTTACAGCTGGATTCCTTCAATTTATCTCCATGTCAATTATACAGAGAATGTATACAGAGAAAAATAAAATATTGTTTCTATATCTTTTCATCATTTCCAATGTCTGCCCTGGCTTTACTTTGGGTGATGTTAGTTGCAAAATCTTTAATACAATTTTTTTTTTTAAATGGAGCATCTCATGAAAAAAAGATAACGCAAGTAATAGAAGATTTTCAGTGTTTTAGTAAATTGTTTGCCAGAGCAGACTTAACTTTCTCTTGCTACTCTGCATACAAATATAACTCAATATTGAATGTAAGTAAAACTAAAACAAAAGGAAAAGCAAACTTTCACAGTTTTGTTCGTAATAATTTGTCTAAAATGAATGGAGATACAAGAAATTAGAAGTTGATAAGAAACTGTCCATAATTAACCTGAAGTATTTTGTAACTCTCAGTCAATGTAAGTGACTTGTAAACTTGGGTACCTCTTCATAACAGTGTTATGCAGTGATGAATTAGTTCACTTTCATAAATCGAGAAAAATGAGGGAGTTTTGAGGGAGGATGGTGCATTGTATATATGGCTGTAATGAACCGCTTGTACTTTGTATAGTACGTTCGTTTGCACACTCCCAAACTGCTAGAGGCTTAAGTGATTAAGTGATTAGTACTCTCCCGAAATGCAAGCAGGTCCTGGGAATAATCAAACACTTCTTCGTTCGCATGCCTAAACATCAATCAAGACTTGATAAAGGGTACAACTGGAATGCTTTATTATGGCCAGATGGCCCACTTTTATACACAGACCCCCAGCATGGGGTCTCCAGCAAAAATATAGTAAAACATGTCCAGGAGTTTCTGTGTCTGGGAGATAATAGAGTGAACTTTGCTTAAACTAATCATCTCCCAGACACTAAAGGTACAGAGAATAAAACATAAAACACCCCAAATCATACTTAATATTAATAGGGACTCCTACAAATCCTATATCCCTGGATAGCCTGGATCTGAGCGTGCAAAGTATCCAAATAGTGCTCAGATCCCACAAATACAGCCGAATCGCCCCCGGGGTAAAGTTTTGACCGACCTCACAAGTGGCGTCTGCCCAAAATAGTTCTGTGAGGAAAGTGGTAGCAGTCGTTCACTTTCAGGAGTCCCAAAATGAATAAAATACCGAGTGGTTCCCCTGGCTCGTAGGTAGCGATTGTTCCTTTAGTTCATGCGTACCTTGTACTCAGGCATTCGTACTAAGTTTCCAGGGTTCGCAAGGTTGAGTGCCCGACACTTGACTACCAAGCAACGCTGCCTGCTTTTGGGAGACAAGATGGCTGCCTTTTTCCAGCGCACGTGTTGTTCGGTTATACGAACGGCGGCTGCCCTGTGAGAGCACTTAATCTTGTGGTTACTTTGAAGTTAAATGAGCCAGGGGGGTGGTCGGTGTTTGGTATATAAAGCTATTGAATGCAGGAGAAAATAACTGGGGCAAAGGAAATTACAGGGTTTGTCACAGTGGCTACCCATTAATTTCTGTAAAATACAATATTGTTTCTTATAAAGGAGATAACTTAATAATAAAATAATTCTAATAATTATTGTAATTGCATCTATGCCTTCATCTCCTACTCCCAAACACTGCGAGGTCAATTTACCATACACCAAATTTGCTTTTAAACTTTTGTCTATTTGCATTCAACTCATCCCTCTTGCATTAATTTGTTAAAATCCCTCTGTAGCTCAACGTGTTCACTAAAAAGCTAAAATTGGTAACCAAAGTGAGCTCAATGGAACCCTACTATTTTCAAACAGATCTTACGTGTTTAATAAGAATGTGAACATATCTCAACTAAATTTGCAACTAGATTTGCAACCAAATTGCATCTGTATTGCTAATAAATTGTAGCTGAATTTTTCAGCTACCAGAAAACAAATGTTTCATTAGAGTAAGTAATAGAATAGGTACTTCTTGTTTTAGGTGCAATTTGTGAAGTTGGAACAACCAAATTAAACCAGTCTGTTTTCAAATTCACCTGCAATTCAGCCATTTGTTAATAGCACCATAATATGGAGCTTCAGCTGATTTTAAGACAAACAAAATATAGCTGAATAGAAGTATGAATTTGGTTCAAATAACTGAATATGCCCTGTGTTAATAGTTGAATTAGTTAAACCAAATGAATAGTAACAACCAAACTATATTCCGCTGCTGTTCAGGTGCCATTTGGCATCTGGTGAATAGACTGAATCGACCCCTGTAATTTAGGGTGATGTTTGATGATCTTTGATCACTAGTTAGATAATCACATAATTAAGTTCCAGGGCACAGATTGGAGATGGGGCCAAGCTCTTCTTTTATTTCTAGATTCTCTTTCATTAACTATTTGTGTGACGGGGATTGTTGCTCAGAATGCAGATAGAGAAACTATTAGTAATGCTATCTCTCATTATTTAGTGTTATTCATTGCCTTGCCATATGATATTATTAAAAAAACACATTTCTTGTGAACTGGTTCTAATGGAGCTAGCACCACATCTAGAATTTCAGAACTCTCCTGACCATGATTTGTGTCTCAAACTAATGTAAGGCTTGATACTAGCCAAGCTAGCTTGATTGCTAGTCAATGCAGTGCAGTTCGTAATAAGTGTTAAAAAGTTTGACGTGTTTGCTAGGGGAAATTGCTTTAAATTATGGATGTGACAACCCTTTTTTTTTTTGTTAGAGTGAGAGCTTTTTGTATATTTGCCTAAAGAACAGCAACTTTAAGCTATAGTGATCAGGTAGCTTCCATCAAAGAGATACATTTTCTTATCTGTAAACTATTTGCTTTCAGATAAATAGCAATGCATTGTTTTGAGAGCTCAAAACACATATCACTGGAAGACACATCATGTCTAGCGTGATTTCACAACACAATGGCATCACAGCTAATATATCTACAAATATATTTTCATAAAGTGTCTTCATAACAAACTATTAGTTTATATTAGTTATTTTAGTTCCTAACAAGCAATGTAATTTAGCTACCTGGCATAATCTGCTAGTTGTTTTTATTTCAGAGATCTTGGCACAGTCCATATGTGAAAAATCACAACCAATTTCGTACTTCAATTTTGGCAGGTACTTTGGTAATTTTTAGTTATAAAGTATACCCACTTACAAGTAACATTTCCATGTTAATATTGCACATGTTGCACTCAAGTGCATTTTTCTTAACGTGTTAAACTATTTAAATTATTCCCAATTTTCTTAAGATTCTACTTTTAAAAAATGCACTTTCAAATGTAGGCATGTTGATAAATTCATGTACCATACAACCATGACTAATATAACACTTCAATCATCATAACCCCTATAGCCCACCATAGTGGTTATGGTGACGAGAGTGTCATGCTACCCTCCCAGAGTAACCATTAAAACCATTTCAGAGTATGGCATTTTACCTAAGTCCCTTTGGCACTTGCTCCTAGTCTTCTCTCGCTGAAGTAGCCAGATGTCTTCACTGAGCTAAAAGGGTCTTATACAGGACTGCTCTCATTGGTTGAGAGAGCTCAGCTGATGCCCTCAGCCAATAAATGCAGCCCTGCACAGCCCTGCTCAGCTCTGCTTAGTTCAGTGGAGCAAAAAGTATTCATCTGTAAGGAGAATCCAGAAGCAGGCTGTGTGGATGCAGGTACCAAGCAGGACCAAGCATGGTAGGGCACTCCTAACACTATAACCATCCCAGCAGGCTCCAGTGGTTATAGTGCTTAGTGTGTTTCTTTAATCTACAAAAATTGTGTCAAGTACCTGAAATAGGCTATATAAGCACAGTGCTATAACCTAATAATGCACAAGCAAAATTAATAAAGACCTTTTTTTTTAATTTCTAATCTACTGTGTGTATTTAAAAGGTATCTTTTTATGTCTTTTTTATGTCTTTGTTTTACAATTGGAGAATTATTAAGTTTAACCCCTTAAGCAGGACTGAGGCAGTTGTACAAGTTGTGATCAAAACAAAACGTAAACAAAACTTTGAATTTGCACTATATGTCTGTTCAGGCATAATTCACCTCTTTCATATCATGTGCACCCACACTTATCATAAATTAGTTTGTTCAGGAGAAACGGGGCTTTCATGTCACTTCAAATATTTGTATATATAACATAATTTAATATGAATAAAATATAAAAAAAATTGAGAAATTAAGAAATGCTATTTTTTTAGTTCTGCACAGCAATTTAACTGTGAATGTTACTGCAATAAAGCACACATATTTGTATTCAGTGATGTCTTACGAGTAAAACAGTTCCCCCAAAGTAAAGGTTTTATGGTTTTTTGAAAAGTTACAGTGTGAAAAATAGCACATTGCATTTTTCAATTTATACACATTGAAATTTGCCAGACTGGTTATGTTGCCTTTGAGAACAAATGGTTTGCAAAAGCAGACAATTCAAGGTTCACAAACACTGGCCAAAGTTAGCGTTAATATTTGTTTGTGTGTGAAAAATGCAAAAAAAACAATTTGAACGCCAATTTTGGCCAGTGTTTGTGACTGCTACTAAGTGGCTACTAAAAAAAGACTGTACATACCCCTTTGCAATACCTTGAGTTGTCTACTTTTGCAAATGGTATGCTAACATGGGGTGTTATTCTCATTCCTGGGCTACCATACCGTCTCAGATGCAACCTAACCAATCTGGCGAATTTCAATGTGAAAAAACTGAAACACAAGCCTTATATTTGACTCTGTAGCTTTTGAAAACACCCTCACACCTGTACATGAGGGGTACTATTATACTCAGGAGACTTCGCTGAATAGAAATATTAGTGTTTCAAAACCGTAAAACATATCACAACAATTATATTGTCAGTGTAAGTGCCGTTTGTGTGTGACAATGGCAAAAAAACTTCATTTTTACTGATGATATCATCGTTGTAATACAGTAATACAGTAGTCTCCTGAGTAAAACAGTACCCCCATGTACATGTTTTATGGTGTCTTGGAAAAGTTACAAGGTTAAATATAGTGCTAGCAAATTAAATTAATCAAATTAATTAATAAAATGACTTAATTATGTAAAAATATTATTATATATTATATTTAAATTATATTTATTTATATAGGTATATACTGTATATACAGTGATATATACATATATATTTATGTATATATATATATATATTATTTCATTCTAAGTGTATTATATATGAAATTAGACACACACATATATATATATATATATATATATATATATACAATTTTTATTTTCTATTTTTAAAATTTTTATTTTTATTGTATTTATATATATGTATTTATTTTCCCTGCTGATTTTGAATGTTTGCCCACTGACAAAGAAAATGATCATTCTATAATTTTAATGGTAGGTGTATTTTATCAGTGCGAGACAGAATAACAAAAAAATAATAATTCAGAAAAACACATGTCAAAAAAGTTATAAATTGATTTGCATGTCAATGATTGAAATAAATATTTGACCCCCTTTGACTTATTTCTTGGTGGCAAAACCCTTGTTAGCAAACACAAAGGTCAGATGTTTCTTGAAGTTGGCCACCAGGTTTGCACACATCTCAGGAGGGATTTTGTCCCACTCCTCTTTGCAGAGAATCTCCATGTCATTAAGGTTTCGAGGCTGCAGTTTGGTAACTTGAACCTTCAGCTCCCTCCACACATTTTCTATGGGATTAAGATCTGGACACCTGCTAGGCCACTCCAGGACCTTAATGTGCTGTTTCTTGAACCACTCCTTTGTTGTCTTGGCTGTGTGTTTTGGGTCATTGTCATGCTGGAATACTCATCCACAACCCATCCCTATCTGAGGGAAGGAGGCTCTTACACAAGATTTGATGATCTTAGTATATATTATTTTATTTTACACTGTTTTTAACCTTTATTGGGCTTGATTACAGGCAGCAGGGGGACTACTTGTCATTCCAGGCAGTCCCCCTGCTGGCACTGCTATGGATGGCTGGGGATCGCCAGCGAGCAGGTAAGTCCCCTGGATGGCGGGCACGTATTATGCCGCCCGTAGGTGGTTAGAGCCGGGTCCCCAAGTACGGCATAGCACGCCCGCCGTCCTTAAGCAGTTAAGGATCCTAATGCAAAATGGAAAACCTGGCTTATTTAATGAGAATAAATTATTGTTTATATAGTGGGTTGCTATTGAGAAATATGCAGTAGAATCAATACAGGCAAAGAGATTTTGGGGAACCAAACTGTGATGTCACCAAGATATGCAATGTTTAAATGCAGGTGGGCTGCCAGTTACATAATACTTAAATTAAAAATAAAATAAGGTAAGTTCTATAAAATTAAATAGACGTTTGGAAGGGCATATGTTCTGTAAAACAGAACCAGTTGTTGAAATATATCATGCTCTTAAAATGTAATCTTATATTTTACTTTAAATAAAACATTGTAAATATGTCTGCTTTTTATATTTTTCTTTCTGCTTCTGTCAATTAATATAATTTCACTCATCTGACTCAGAATAATTGTTGGCTTATCAAATTAATTGTCAGAACAGTGAAAATACAGTGGAAGTGTGCAGAAGTATAACTAAAAATAAAGATTGTTTCCATGGCAAAATGTAGAAAAATATCCAACTCGGAGTAACTCTTTCCTGCAATACGATATGATGAAATTATATAGTATTTGCAGCTGTCATTGTTAATTTGTCAACTCAAGGAAATAGCTCTCATCACGAAAGTGCTCAAAATGTTCATTATAAATGACAATATGAGAAGCAATAATGCCTAGTAAGGTCACTTTTCTTGTGACCAAATATAATTCAACAAAGGAAATTGCACAACTTGAGTCAATAATAGGGTTTGCTATTTGATTGTGGTTGCATTTATATTGGCCTGTATCAACAGTTTTGCTCCTTACACATTTTATACTCAAGCTAATAGCACTATAGCTTTATCAAATCAGGTAAAATGCTTATTGGCTGATCATCTTACCCACCATGTCATGTTCTGACATGGTTTATTGCTTTGGCAACTGCTATGTCAATTAAGCACCTCGTTTGCCATCATCTGTCCTGATTCTACCTCATTTTCCAATTTATTAATTTTATTTCCATACTATTATATTTATATGAAACGTTTTGGGTTGTTTTTTACAATTATTGTATTAACAATAATCTCTATTTCACCTATGGCTAACTGCTCTAGTAGGGACTTTTGAACTTTGTCATTATTATTATTATTTATAAAGCCCCAACAAATTCCACAGTGCTGTACAATAGGTGGACTAACAGACACGTATTTGTAACCAGACGAGTTGGACAAACAGGAAGAGAAGGATTGAGGACCCTGCTCAACGAGCTTACATGCTAGAAGGAGTGGGGACAAGTGACACAAAAGGTAAGGGTAGAGTAGAAAGGTAGGTTGCCAGGATAGTATTTATTGAGTGTTTAGTGTTTTGTTTTGATGACAGTTGCAGGAGAGGAATCAGGGTGCGCAGAGGGAAAGTTGTTGACAGTTTAATTGATATGCTTTTCTGGAGAAGTACGTTTTCAAAGATTTTTTGAACGAGTGGAGACTGGATGAAAGTCTAACAGAGAGGGGAAGGGCGTTCCATATGGTGCAGCCCTAGAGAAGTCTTTAAGGTGTGCATCATAGGTAGGAGTACAAACAGAGGTTAGACGTAAGACATCGACAGAGCGTAGGGTCTAGATGGGACATATTTGTGTATTAGTAAGGATAGGTAGGTCGGAGCAGCATTGCGTAGAGATTTGTAAGCAAGTAACAGGATCTTAAATTGAGCCCTATATTTTATGGAAAGCCAGTGTAAGGACTGACAGAGGGGGGCAGGTGTGGGATCATTAGATCTGACGTTTCAAACTTATTTATTGCTCAGAATGACAGCTGATGTTCTATGGAAGCATGGGAAAGTTCACTTTCACATAAATTCAAAACAAACTCAATATTTACACATTACCGATTCCATAGTAAAATGGACCATTCACTTTAAGTTGGTACGATTGCTTGTTAGTATCCAGGACAGTTCTGTGTGCTTGAAAACCTTTTACATAGGACAAATTTACATATTACTCAATTTCATCCCCATTCTAGCTGTAATCTTCCTTGGACAATTTCTTGTAGAAGCTATGGATAAAATATAATTTAATGGCCTTTTTGCATAGGCTTGAAGGGTAAAAGGGCAAGTGAGGGTGAGATTTGCACATATCCCTTTAGCATCCCTGCAATTATAGGCAACACTGTGCACATGTAAAAACAATGATGCTGGCTTTTCAATTAAAGGTTTGCAATTTGAGTGGATGAAATGTCAATTTGATGTCAATTCAACTTTTATTGAAAAACTCCAACCAAAACCTTTAATCCACTCTTTACTTTTGGATTTTGACAGTTTACATTTTCTGATAGATGCAACAAATGTCCTAAATTATGGGTGGATGGAGTAGAAATTTTGGTTTACTGAACACTTTCTAAAAAGAAAGATTAAGACATAACAATTCAGTTAGTGGAATCACTTACATCCATATTGCAACCTGCGATCATAGCACTTGAGCTATGGTAGTCTAAGAAAAGAAAAATGGATTTCTTCAGCAGATTTATCATTTATCTTATATAATATAAAGCCAGAGCTCAAAGGTTTAACCTAAAAAAGACACATGACAGGAAAGAGTTTAAAGGAAAGCATGGTTCATGGTTGGAGATTTCAAAGTTTAAGATCCAAGACACAGTGCATCAATGTTTAACTTAACACTGAAAAATGTTGTCGTCACTCCATGTGGATCCTATTGTTCTATATGGCACAGAATACAGATGCATTTTACTTCCATCTATACTGTTATTCTGATCCCTGAATTTAAAGGTAGTGCTCACATCCTGAATCTTGCTTCAATATAAAGGTTTGAATGCATTCCTAGGTATGCAGCACTGAGCTGGGGAAATTGGAATTGTGAGTTTCATTACTTGTGGCTGCTGATGGTCCTTTGAGTATAATCCTTCTATTTCTGGACACTTTAAAAGAATATATTTTATGGTTTATTTTTAAACCTGATATACCTACATCTATTATTGGAGATTTGGGTAAGGAGAGACAAAAACTAAGCATAAAAGTGAAGATTGACAGCAGCAAATATGGCAGTTAAGTGGCAAAGGTTATTTTAATCCAGTTTTCTGAGCACATGGCTATTATGTTTACTGCAGCTACACTAATAGACAGATACTTCACATGACTCATACATACTACATAGTTTACTATATAGTTTGGAATTGTTATGTGCAAGGTGCTATATGAACATTAGGGTATAAAAGATGTCCTATTTAAACTATGTGAAGCTTTATTGTAAAGTTCCAGAATCCACACAAATGAGAGAGTCCAGCAATAGTCCTTTCATGCTGCCCCTGGCATCTGGTTGCTCTGGTACCATGCCACAGCCATCAAACGTCACTGTGTAAATGTTTGGGAATAGTGTAGGTGGTTCCAAATGACAGTAATTGGGGGAATGAAAAAGACATGAACAGGACTAGAGAAGAACAAGATATAAATATTCACTAAATATATGATTTAATTTTATGGTCCTACAACACATAATTTGTATTGTTCTACAGCTCTATAACATGTGGATCTAATGCACACAGATTGTTTTCATGTCCACGTATTCTCTCAGAGATGGAATCATATGTCAGGAAAACATTGTAATTTTAATAAAGCTCTAGATCTACATATTTATCCATTATTACGCTAAAAAAATTAAAATAAAATGTAATTATTTGAAGATTAGAAGAGCACTCTGATATGTTGTAAAAATGATTTATTTGATTGAAAGGCTAAAGAGGGGTATTTCAAGGATGATTAAGTTAAATTGGGAAAATTAAACCACCAAAATTGTAGTATAGCACTTAAAAATCAATAAAGGATTGATATATGTATTGATGGATTTTTTTTAGCGCTACACTACAATTTTGTTGGTTTGATTTAATTGTGAAGTGTGTTAAGGTTTATACTAGGAAGTGGTTAGCAGCTAAAATAATTGAAGTATATTGAAAAAGCAATTTACAACGTGGTTTAGAAGCGATAACATAGTAAAAATATTAAAATGTATTATTTTTGTTGATTCTTTCCGAAACTGAAGTTTTTCTGAGCTGTCTGTTTCTTTTTACTGAACTAAGAAAATAAATGTTCCATTCCTTAAAGAAACTTAGATTGTTCAGTTTATTTTAGTTTTATTTCTAACACCCCTGTTGCTTTTTAGATTGGTCTGTTCAGAAACATAATAATATTTGTGTTACTTGACTCAAGAAAAGAACTGGACCTCATTTTCAAAGTTTCTTAAATTCTAAATTGTTCATTCTTACACAACGTATGCATAAATTATATTATGGAATATATACATCATATAAGTGACTAAATATTGGGTTTCTCCCTAAAACAGAAAAGCTATTTTACTTAGATATTAGCAAAATTTTGCTTAGAACCCTGATACAAAATGATTTACAAAATTAAGAATGTTAAATATCTTATTATTTAATCTATCATAGCCAACTAAAGATATCAGATATATTATTAAATACAATAAAACAGAGTCCTTTTTCAATTTGACTCAGAATAGACATTCAATAGATTTGAGCAACCTTTTCTTTATCTTGTTTTATGTCGCTTGGGACTCTCTGAGCCTTTCTAAAATGTGATTCTGGACCTATACTGTTCCCTCTTCCCTTCTTAAATGTAGGTCCTGGACAATTTTCTTTTCAGAGCTGTAGACCTATATTTCTGAGAAATATGTTTTTTTATTTAAAGTGAACATGCAGCATCCAACAAGTGCTGTGTTTCCCCAAGCACCCAAATAACATAAAATAAATATATATATTAGACTCCAATTCTATCCTAATGCTACATGGCATCCATCATCAGTTAAAGGAACACTCTAAGCACCATAACAACTACAGCATCTTGCACACCCACACTAAAAGTAATCAACCTATTTTCAAAATATTTTGACTTCATGGCTCCTACACTACATCAACCAGAGAGCGTACTATAGTGGTTATGTTTCTTGGAGTGTTCCTTTAACATTTCATCCAGACAGCAAAAGTTTATTTTCCTGTGTTACATATGATGAAAACCCCCTCAAAGGCTCCAAATTTTTGGCTTTAACCTTCAATATTAGCCTGTTGAGCTGTACATCGCAACATGAATACTTAATTCGTAGTTTAGACTAAATTTGAATACTTTAACTTTCGAACGTTGACACTGTTACTAGCAGAAAAAAGAGTTAATGAAATTTGGATTATTACTGCTTTAAACTGTCTTGCAGTACCAGCTGGATTGACCAGGTGCTGGCATTGAATTGTTATGGAGACGACTGTATGTAATAATGTAAGAAGCATGCATGTAATAAAGTAAGATACAATTTGTAATAAAATAAAAAATAAAAATATAAAGAAAAGTAAATACCAGGAGAGGGAAAATGCAAACCAAAATACATTTTTAAAAGGGCTAACGCAAACACTAAGAAAAAGACACCAGCCCTAGGAGGGCTTAATTTATTTAATGGTAACTGCACATTTTATAAATTTTGAATTTGATTGTTCAATGCGATTGGACTCTCTAATACTGTTTCTTACCAAAAAAATGCAACTAAGGGGGAGGTTTGAGCTCATTTTAGAGACATTTAAAAATCTGTATTCATTCAGTCATCAACAATGAGCTTTTAGGCAGAATATTCTATTTAAATCACAGATTCTAAGTATCCGTTATCACAACTATTTTATAATAATGAAAACGCTTTCCCCTGGATAACAATTATATAGCCTCATATGAAATGATCAATGCATAATTGTTGGCACCTGTTACAGATAGAAAATACTAAACAAGCCCTGAATGAATCCAACACATCGATATAAAAAGTAAAGAATCTGACAGATGCTAATGTTTTAGGCAACTTCTGAGAGTGAAAACTGGGAACCAGCTGGTACCTGTTTTTGATATTTGCAGCTGTTTTCTAAATTTGAACGGTCTAGTGAGAAATCATCAGAAAATAGTCAACACTCAAACTGTGCAGTAAACTACTACACAAATAACCACTTTTAAAGGCTTTTTGAGAACATATTTCTGCATTAAACTTGAAAGCCATAAAAACACGCATTGTTTTCAGAAAACACTCAAACTGTTCGGCGTTACTAAGTTTAAAGCACTCAACCAGTTCATTGTTACCTAGTTGTCACTCTATGAAAATGTACTTGTGTACACCATATTTTTTAAAAAAGATTGTTAAAATCAAGAAATACTTGCCTCTTTTATGTAGTAAAACACTGGCGTGTCTTCGTCCATTCCCATTCTCCACATAACAGGAATAGTTGCCTAAGTCGGCATCTTCAACTGAATCAAATATTAATGAAATGGAGACCTCTTGCTCTCCGAGATGTTTCCTAAGTATTCTTGAAAGAGAACAAAACATGTATTTTGTTACTGTAAGCGGCAAAGTATACCATTCTCTACAAATTTGACCATCACAATAACCTCTTCGAAACCACTTAAAACAATAGGGAAATAAGTTCTTTACTTACATTGTAAAAACATAACACTCCAAACTGATGAGTGACACAATATGTTATACTTTGCATTCTTTTGTCAATGTCTTTTTCAGATGTATTCCAGCCCTATAAGGACGGAGTCAACTGTGCAAGTTCTGGCCATAATAAAAAGAAAACAAAACCTAGAATTTGAGCTACAGTATTTGTCTGTTCAACCACAATTTAACCCACACTTATTTATTATATATCATTTTGTTCAGGAGAAATATGGCTTTCATTTTACATCACATATTTGTATTTGAAACATAATTTAATATGAAAAAAATCAAAAGAAGTATGAGAAATTAAGAAATGGTATTATTTTCAACATTCTGCATGGCCTTTTAACTGTCAATGTGTTAATACTGTTAGCATTTGCTACAATAAAACTCACACATTTACATGATGTGATGTCCCATGAGTACAATGATGCCCCGCATGAACATTTGGTGCATCATTGTATTTTGGAAAGTTACAGGGTCAAATAAAGAGCTTGCCTGTTTGAGATTTTACACATTGAAATTTGCCAGATTTGTTTTCTGGGCCAATGCTGCCTTTGAGACCGTATAGCAGCCCATGAATGAAAATTACCCACATCATGGCATACCATTTGCAAAAGTAGACAACCAGGGTATTCAAAAGGGGTATTTCCAGTCTTATTAAAGGCTCACTATAGGGTCAGGAACACAAACATGTATCCCTGACCCTATAGTGTTAAAACCACCATATAGCCCCCCAGGGCCTCTCATGCCTCCATAAATATAGCAAAATCTTACTGTATTCAAACCTAAAGCTGTAACTATGCATGCTGTTTGTCTCAGAAAACCAAGCAGTCTGCTGATATCATCAGAAGTGGTAGTCTGATCCAATCACAGTGTTTCCCCATAGGATTGGCTGAGACTGACAAAGAGGCAGATCAGGGGCAGAGCCAGCATGATTCAAACAGGCCTGGCCAATCAGCATCTCCTCATAGGGATGAATTGAATCAATGAATCTCTATGAGTAAAGTTCAGTGTCTGCATACAGAGGGAGGAGACACTGAATGTTTGCATCCATTTTAGGCAGCCATGACCCAGAAAGGATCTCTAACAACCATCTGAGGAGTGGCCTGTGAAGTAATCACTAGGCTGTAATGTATCAGTGCATTTTCTCTGAAAAGACAGTGTTTTCAGCAAAAAGCCTGAAGGTAATTATTGTATTCACCAGAACAAATTCAATAAGCTGTAGTTGTTCTGGTGACTACAGTGTCTATTTAAAGTAGAAACTTAGTCACAAACCCTGGCCAAAGTAAGTGTCCATATTTGTTTTTTGCATTTTTCATAAAAACTACTGTCCTTTCACCGATTATATCATTGTCATTATACATTTTACTGCTCTAAGACACTCATATCCGTGTTCACCCATGTAAAAGCTCTATGGGATTTTGGAAAGTTACAGGGTCAGCTATAGGGCTTGCCCATTTCAGTTTGCCAGACTGACTTGCTGTGCATATATTGTCTTTGAGACCATATGGCAGCCCAGGAATGAGAATTACCCCCAACTTGGCATACCATTTGAAAAAGGTAGACAACCCAGGGTATTCAAAATGGGGTATATCCAGTCTTTTTAGTAGCCACAAACCCTGGCTAAAATTAGCATTTACATTAGTGTTTGCATTTTCCACACACAAACTGCACTTTCACTGAACATATCATCATACATACATTTTACTGCTCTTAAATACTCATAATTGTGTACAGTGATGTATCATGAGTACAACCTCCTATGTTCAAGTTTTATGGGGTTTTGGAAAGTTATAGGGTCAAATGTAGGGTTGCAAATTAAATTATCTGGTATTTCAGCCTGGTTCAGGAGGAAAGCCCCTCAATAAATAATGAAAACATAATAAATATATATATAATACATAAAATACATTTAATATAATTATATATAGAATAATATCAAAATTCATTTAGAATGAAATGTTTTATATATATATATATATATATATATATATATATATATATGTATATACACATATATATATATAAAATTTCATTACAGATGTTTATAGTTTGTTTAACATAAATAAATTATTTTATTATTTATATAATGGATATGCCTGACAATCCATGACTCAGATGGGTGGACTGGTGCAGGAAGACTGCCTTGGTTGTCGTCATGGAGGGTATGTTTGCTGCGAGCAGGGCCTAACGACTTTAAAGTTCTCCTTTTCGAAGGAAAGCATAGCTTGCCAAAATGTTGAGAGGGGGTCAAGATAGAGGGCTCATAATTGAGAGACACCTTAAGTATCTTTTTTTAACATCCACTTATAAATGTTTTTATTAAACAATAGAGAGCTTTAATAATATGTGGTTAAATTAATATGTTGTGGTATACTTCATGGTGACTAAGCTTGTGGGTGAATTTCATGCCAGTGTGTGAAACAACCAAAACTCATCTTTCTGCTTAAAAATAAGAAATAACCCAAATGCTTTAAAACATATATTACAGTTAATTCTGAACAGTCTACTTTCTTAGAATAGTTGTGGGATCATGATTTGGGATTCCTAGAATGAATAATTTCCATGAGAAACAGTAAAAAATATAAGCTTATGAACAGCCTCACCGTTCTGTCTGCATGTTGTTAAGCATTGTTTTGGCACGATAATGCAAGTTAAGAAATTATGGACCACTTGCTTTTTGACCCACCAACTATATATATATATATATATATATATATAAAACAAAAATAGTAATGCACTCCACCTTCCTTGATGTACTTGTCCGGTGCTTATCAGCAAACAGATACAGCCAAAAGTACAAGATAGCACTCCAGGGACTTCCAAGTTGAATGAATAAAACTTAGCTTTTATTAGCTCAAAATAAAAATCAACGTTTCAGTCTGTATCACAGACTTTCATCAGGATGATGAATTTGCTTTTAATCATTCCTTTCTGCAAAATATATCAACACTTAAAAAAAAAGTTACCTTGTATCACTTTCTCTGACCCTCTTTTCATCGAGATCTTCAATAAATTTTTCACCCTTCATCCAGTAAATCACAGGACTGGCATCTCCGCCATAGCCAAAAAAAGCTCTGCAGGTTAAATTAGCCGACCTGCCTGTTAGAAGAAAATAAAAATAAAATAAAACTTCTAAAAGACTTTATTTTTTCTTAAATTCAAGAATTCTAAAATCAGATATTAATCACTGTAATAAATTAGAGATGTAAACAATAAACTTTAGAAGTTTCCCATTTTCCGTTATTCAATCTTTTTTTTTTTCTAGTAGTAGAATGAATAGATAGATTAAATTAAAGAATTCAGCTCAACTACCATAAATAATGTTTCCTTCTATCCTTTTTGCCTTATTATGTATTGAATAATACATTTCAGCTCTGGCTGAATGTTGTCAAGAGAGCAATATGTTTGTTCATAATACAAGACACTGTGGTGTTCAGACTTAAATCCAATTATTCAAAATTATAGTAACTTTTACTTTGGACAAAATTGGAAAAAGAACTGATAAGTGGCCAATATGTCACAACATATGCATCTAAGGTATCTCTCAATGTATTTTAAGGTGTTTAAAACACAAACAAATAATGCCTCTGTTGTGAGCCAAAATATCAACATGACTCAAGTTTCACAAATGACTAGTGACATTAGAGAAATGCTAAAGAACTCTCCAAGCACCATAAGCTCAACATCCCAATGTAGTGGTTATGGTGCCAAGAATGCCCTTTGCCACCTCAATGTAATTTGTCAATAATTTTAGTGGTTTGACAAGTTATTATGGTTTTACCTGCAGCCCCTGCTTCCAGGATTCTTCTACATTAACTCTACAGATGTAAGCAAAGCAAAGCAATGCCACGCTCATTCACTGGGAGCATCAGTTAAGTGCTTTCACCCATTGAGTGTGGTCCTGTATTGACCATGCTTTCCATTTTAGAGTTATTTGGCTTATTATGAAATAGAAGACTGGATGCTGCACTGGTGCCCAGTGGAACTCAGGTAAGTTGTCAAGCAATTCTAAAATTTTTTAACAAATTACACTGTGATGGTACCATGATCATTACAGCAGTCTGTGGAGTGTTCCTTTAAATCAATAAAATTAACGTATAATATTAGCTGCTGTTGGAGATGTAGCAACAGCAGCAATATTATAAGTATTTTGGAAGTAGGTATGCAGCAGTTTTTAACAGAACCTGGGTTAAATATACAGCACATATTATGTGGATCATAAACATGCTAGGCGGCGGGCATACAGGGGAATAGTATTTGATTGGATTGGAATAGGTAGGGGGTAGGGTGCACAGGAATATTAATACTGGACATTTTTGTGTAGGGGCCATTTTAACTAATCCTGACTTACTTTTTGTTGTACCACCCTCCCTCTCCTCTTTTATGGGTTTTGTGTGGGTTTGTCATTTCTGTTCTCTGCCAGTCTTAGCGGGAGATGAAGAAATATTGGGGGTAGGTAGGGTTGGTAACTGGGATCTTGGAAGTTCGGTACCAATATTCACTTGCTTGGATTTGATATTTGGTAGGCTGTAGCCCGTTGGTGGCTTTCAACTTGCCCCTACAATGTTAAATCTGTTATATTATTGTTGCCTGTTGTGCTTGTGTGTGTTGTATTATGTCATTATGATACTGCCATTTGAAGTTATGTCATGGGTCATTGTCAATGGGTATAATGCTTTTGTAGGTTTGGATGTGTTTAATTGGATAGGTAAAGAGATAGCTCTGACAATGACTCATTGTGTTAAATATATTTATAATTTACTAAAGCCATGACATTAACCCACTTTAATTTAGTGTCCGTGTCTTTCTGGGAAAGGGGTAAGTTCAGGTATAATTTATGGCATATGCCAAGAGACAACTATGCACATGTCATGAGCCTAAATAGCACTTTGTGCTAATACAAATATCTGTGTCTCTCTCTCTTTCTCAACTCTCGCATCATCAGTTACCACTGCTGTCTCTCTCATTGTCTTTTGTCTCTCTTTCTGCCCATTCTACCTAATTCTTGTCATGGACCCAGGGTTGCAGGGTGGGGGCTTCTGCTTGGCTCGTAATTTTACAAGGGGCATTTATTGTTACAGGTTGTTAGATTTATATGGACAAAATGGAGCTGAGTATGTGTTTGTTTGGTGCGGCTGAGAGTTGTTTATAGCAAGAAACACAAGGACTTATGGGAAGAGGAACTGTGCGTACTGTTAATTACCCTATTGTATGCAAATTACCCTCTGTGGTTATAATTAGCTCTGCACAGCTGTCATAAAGTAAGTTCTGTTTTCAACTACATGTAGTCTCGACTCATGGTGTGTAGTAAAGGCTATAATCACTGCTAGAATCACTCACTATATTTTACCTCCAAATGCTGCTCAGATTACTTTACGATCGACATCTTAACTCTTTTAATGGTACCTAATACTTAGACTCAGCAAGGTGATATCGGATGTTCCGTAAATAGCATAGGAAGCCAAGTAGTAACAAATTACTCAGCCGGAGTACCCACAGGCCGTTACAATCACTTTCTTAGTGCCACTCACGCCTTGTCACTTTGTGTTGCTATCCCTCTCTATGCTACAGTGTCCATCTTTTTGAGTCACTCTTTCCTTCTTTAAGGGAAAAACATGGCATGCTGTTAAACATATGTTTCTAATTAAAACTGAAATGGAAAGTATGAATGCTTAATAAGAACCAATCAGTTAGCACATTAAAGGATAAGTAAAAAAGAATAACTGATGTTTGACTTACAACTTTTCATTAATTTTTTATGGTCTACATACACAGAACAGCATGCTGCTTGTAATATGATTTATATTTCTCTCAATTAAATAGCTTTCCTATAAGCTGTTAAGAGAGTCTGACATTTTAATGAAGCAGTTTCTAGTAGTTCCTACTACTTCCAAAAATAGGGATTTATTGGCCACGCCGGTCCTTCTCAATTACTGCAGTTAAGCACTTTTCTAAAACTACTTATGAACTGTTGATGGTTAAACATGGCTTATTTATACCCATAAACAATTACAACTTTTTTACAACATTTAAGACTCAAGTTAAGGTTATAGACACCTGTGATCTAGTAATAATGCTAAATATCATTCTAGCAAAATATATATATATTTGTTTAGCACTGCCCAAAGGCATAACACATTGAAAACATGAAACTTGTATAGTATTTGGTACTCAGATAGTATTTGTATTAAAACATTCCACTTATAAAGGTTAATTTTGTCTTTTCTTGAGAGTCATACCTCAAAATGATTGAAGCTCACATAGCACAATGTCTAAGGATTATACTAAAGCTCACGTACCATTTCTACTGAAAATGACATAGCATTGCTATTATAGCTCACTCTATTTCAACAAGCTTGCAGATCATGATGTTAAACCACAGTTTCTTATTCGTTTACATCTTCTAGTAAAGTACAAACAGAACTTTGGGGTATGATAATAGTACAAAATATATATTATAACCTCATAAAATATTGCTATTAAACATCAATTAAGCTCTCAAATCACCATAAACATACACAGTACTTTCATGGAAACATGAAGGAGGTTAATGCTTGCACCAACAATTTGGTTTTCATACAACTTCCATTGAAGTTCCCAGCAGCACTAATATAAATAGAATAGCACCATGCAGTATTTGATTTATGTCAATATTTACACTGAAACCATCCACAGGCTAAATTTTTGTATGCTGCCAAAAAGCTAACGTAGACAGGAAACCTAATAGACTTGGATAATTTGTCCAGTTCATCTACTTTGCCCCTAAATTTGAAATTCAATACAAATTCTTTTTGAATATGCGACAAATTATATCACACCTATAATCTATATTGTAAAAGTTCTATCACTTTTTTACCTTCTTGAGATAACCATTGTCACTCATAAAACTTACATGACATTTTTTTTTTGGAACAATGCCACAAACAAACACAGTTAATGTGAAACTGTATAATTGATATATATCTAATAGGCATGGTGTCTTAGATATGTTCTTCTTTCTCCCCCCATCCCCTACTTTCCAGTTTTGCTTTGTTTTTTTTAGCTATTTTTTTATTTATTTTTTATTACGTGTATCTTCTGTCCGTACTACCACCTCTGATGCTCGCCTTCAAGACTTGAGGGCTGCACCGTTCCTGTGGAACTCGCTTCCCTCCTTTGTTAGATGCTCACCCAGTCTCCACTCCTTCAAAAAATAATCAAAAACCCACTTCTTCATAAAAGCGTATCATTTAAACTGTTAATAGCTCCCGACTGATTCCTCTCTTGCAACTGTCATTAGTCTAATACAATCCTTACCTTTTGTGTCACTTTACCCCACTCCCTCTAGCATGTAAGCTCATTGAGAAGGAACCTCAACCCCTCTGTTCCTGTGTGTCCAACTTGTCTGGTTACAACTACATGTTTGTTCGTCCACCCATTGTAAAGCGCTGCGGAATTTGTTGGCGCTATATAAATAATAACATAATAATATTTGCTGTGTAGTGTACTTATGTTTAGTGATTTTATTAGAATTTAATTTTTATAAAAATGGTTTACACCCTGCGAGGCGATTTGCTCCCCTTTTTTGCATCTGTCGTTTGAAAATAATACAAAGGTAAGTAAACAAAAAAACATAAAACATACCCAGTAAATATTTTAACAAATTAAAAGTATCAATATGAACAGCAGACAATAAGCAGGATAGCAAATATGCATTAAGTAACCGAGTATAACAATCACTCGATTAAAATCATTCCTTTGATATTTATATATATATATATATATATATAACAAATTTATATTTGTTTCTTTATTTTTTATTTTTCAGTTTTATATTCTCTATATTACCTGTTATTCTCTTTTCTTTTTAATCCATCTACTATTTTCATACCATTCATTTTAGGTTAAAAAAAAGTATTAATGCTAAGCAGTGATTGACACCTTTCATGTACGTATAACTCATGTCTAGGCAAATGCTTCTAGTGGTGGATGGCTACTGATCTCTGCAAGAATGAGGGCAGGAACACACTAGCGATCAATGGAAAGCACTAGGAAGTCTCTTGAACCTCTATATAGATAAGAACAGGGAAGCAGTGTTGCTGAACCAGGTTCGATTAACAACATGGGTGATTCTTTTCTGATTTAAATCTGACAGCCTACTTTAACTGGCTGAAAGTAAAAGAGTAACAGAAAAGAATACACATTTTAGATTTGTGGATTTGATTTAAAACATATCACAATTTCTCAACATTTTGGATGATTGGTAAGTTGCCCAAATTCTGTCACTCCAAATAGCCACAAGCCATATGTGGAATGAACAACCCAAAAGATGATTGATGGTAAAAAAAAAGATAATTGATGGTTAATGGACAGCCACTAAATGAAGATCAATAAAGGTAATATATAACTATATGTGTGTGTGTGTTCTTTTCCCTTTATTTGTTACTTCTTCTAACTTGAAATGTGAACCAAATTCATAAAAATGTGCCTATCAATGTACTGCAAAATACATGTATAATATTTATCTCATATAATTTTGGCTGACACAACGAGCTTTGTCAAGCCTAACATGCCAATGAACATTTAAATACTTATACCCAACAAACTGATAATTAATAAATCAACCTACCAACCACTAATCTACTAAATTAAACAATAAAGTGCCCATTACATAATTATTACATCACTTACATGATCATTAAAGGACCACTATAGTGCCAGGAAAACATACTTGTTTTCCTGGCACTATAGTGCCCTGAGGGTGCCCCCACCCTCAGGGTCCCCCTCCGGCCAGGCTCTAGGGGGTGTAAAGGGTTAAACTTACCTCTTTCTCCAGCGCCGGGCGGGGGACTCTCCTCCTCCTCTCCTCCTCCTCGGCTGAATGCGCATGTACGGCAGGAGCTGCGCGCGCAGTCAGCCAGTCCATAGGAAAGCATTCACAATGCTTTCCTATAGACGCTGATGTCTTCTCACTGTGAAAATCTCAGTGAGAAGCGTGGAAGCCCTCTAGCGGCTGTCAATGAGACAGCCACTAGAGGCTGGATTAACCCTATTATAAACATAGCAGTTTCTCTGACACTGCTATGTTTATAGAAAAAAGGGTTAATCCTAGCTGGACCTGGCACCCAGACCACTTCATTAAGCTGAAGTGGTCTGGGTGCCTATAGTGGTCCTTTAAGTATTGATCTGTTGGCATGGAGTCAGTCTCATTGCTTGCTGGGCTGGATGGCATCCAGAAGAAGAGAAATCACGTGTGTAAATCAAGGACCACAAATAATGTTTAATGAGCATGTGAGTAATTTAAGGGTTACACTAACCACAGACCAGTACCCCCTCATCTTTATTTGCTGACGTCCCCTCACCAGAGGGGGAAAAGAGGTCAGGGAAGGCAGGCAGATGGGATGAAGGAGGGTGGCATGGAGGGGCAGGGTTTGCTACCATTAGCTGTCTAGCACCAGAATGCTGTCCTACACTTTATTCTCTTTACGGTTGGATCAAGACCAACACTAGCTACGTATTTCTATTTAACTTCTATTGAGAGAATTTCACATTATCTTTGTGTATGTTTAAGATTCCATCTTTGGCTATACTGAAAGAAGTAGTGCATTTAAGATAAAATAAAATCATAATGGCATATACAAACACGCAGACACACACAAACACACACACATAAAAAAAAGCCCACAAAAACAAATGAAAAAATCCTACCAGCTCAATGCAGTGAAAGAAGTGTATGGTGTTCAAGCTTTTCTTTATACCACTTACTAGCTTGCTACAAGGCTATTTTTTGCTACAAGGCCAATTTGTTTATCTGGATAAGTCTTGCTTTGACTTGCTTTGTACCGGACCTATGTAACCATAACATTATCAGTAGTATGTGTGCTTGTTTTCAACATGAGAAACTTTATCTCAGGCAAAATGGTAGTGTTTTGTATTATTGCTTGCATTGGTTTCTCTGCAGAAAAAAATGATGTTCAGTAAATATTTATTGCCTATGAAAAACATTTTAGTGGTGGCAATTGAAAAATAAATACAATTTTATCTGTTTGTCTCTTTTATCACACATTGCATAAAACTGAATATGGCCTAGTACATTTAAGCACCACGTTAATCGGGAATTGTCTTTGACATATCATTTGCTCTGCAAGATACCTGCGTAAGACATTGCTCCAATTTAGCAGACTATTGACCTCTAATTAATTTGTTTGATTCAGCATCAGAAATGAATCTATTAGGAGAAACAATCTAATAATTTATCTACAAAAGTTACAAATAAAGTCTATTAAAATTTTTGTAGATACATCATAAGAAAATTTTTTTTTCTAACAGAATGGAATATTTTCTGAAGCTATATTTTAAACCTGTATAAAATGTACCAGGTACTTAAGTTTAGGAGGATGAAAATGTGATGTTATTCCCAACCTGGAAATGTCTATATATATTCAACCTGATACTTTATCATACTGTGTGCCACTAGAGGACATTGTTTGGCTTCAAACAGACTCCGAGATGAAATTTGTTGCTGGGAGTGTCAGTATCCAGAAGAACAGCTAGTTGTAATTAGCAAATATTGAATGTCTTGTGCTGGAGTGAAATGTCATTTTGTATGGGTATTCCAAATTACATTTGCAACATTAGTCATACATGTTAGAACACATTGTAATTGAAATAGTGTAATGGTTTATTTGCTATTCCCTGATGTCAGTAATATGTTGTTTTATACAAGCCAGTAATATTTCTTTAATTAATCTCTGCTGATGAATTATATTTAGTTTAATTTTTATGCAATAATTTAAAATGTGCAATATAATTTTCGTGGTTTTTAAAGGAAATATTATTTATTTTTTGCAAATGCAAATGTGTTTTTATTGTCTAACTGGAAATGAAAAATATCATACATAATGCTGAATGCATGAAAAAATATTTTATCATACATGAAGATAATATAAAGATGTATAATTATTTAGAGAGTACACATATTTTGGCTGAATGATGTATTTTAAGAATCACCTGAGTAATAGAGTACTAAGAAAAATCATTTTTTTTATTTTATTGGTAGACCAGCCAGAATCCCCTTTTTATATGAAACACTTGCATAATATACTCTGAAAGGTAGGAATGATCTTATTACAGTCTTGAAATATATATATTTCACAAGTGTCCTAATTTCAAAGATGAGATACAATATGTCACACTTGCTTGTTACCCAAATTGTCAAAAATGAAAATTTTTCACTAATTACATTTATGAAACTCCTTCTGATGCTTAAAATCAGTCTGTGCATTCTGAAGCCCTCTGGCGTCAATTTGCATAAGTAAAAATCTTGTTCTATTTATCATAAAGTTGCTCTACCTGGTCTCACTGATTCTGCATATTGTCCTTCTACAATAGACTGCAATGGAAGATCAGTTAGCATTTTTATTTCCAATATGAGTCTGGTTGCCACGGATATATTTATCTCTCATAATATCTGTGGCAACCACGGATTTTGTTTATTTTATTGCTGGGGTGGTCTTACAGTTTTGGATCTAACATTCCCGTCACAAGTGTTAAAATCAATGACTATATGGTTGTTAAAAATAAAGAACAAAGTTTGTTTTTGTTCCACTCTCAACTGAATCAGTCTACAGTGTCATTCAATAGACCAAATAAGTGTGACAGTACACATAAAGCAGAATTCAATAAACCATCTCTATCTGTTTTACTGGAAGGCATATAGACCATAACATTTCACATAGACTAACTTCACGTCTGGTTCCAACACCAGTTGCTTCAAGTATTTCTCATGGTAACTTTTTATTTGATTTTTTTTTTATCTGCAATACTTTTTATTAACTACAATACCTTGTAATATGGCAGTATTTATTTTATACATGTTCTTTATATGTTATGTATTCTTGTAAAATAGAGTTATTTCATTATGAATACATTTTGGTGCAATACAAATATTAAAAAGTAAATAAACACAGATCTTCCTCCCTGATTCTATACTACATCTTTTCCTGCAGAGATGTTGCATGCTGTACATGATGTCACTCTCAATGCAATTTTATATATTAATTATTCATGCATTATTTCTGCATCCCGTATTTCACAAAAATGATTTATCTATTTATACCCAGGCTCTTCCTAGACTTCAGCATTCTTGTTTTTTTTCCTATCCTGCATTGTGAAGATGTTAATAACTCAAGCTTGACAAAGACCCTGTTGTCGGCCAAAACGTTGTCATTTTTTTTTTTATGTCCAATAAAGCTGCTTCGACCACCTTTTTCTTCTGATTAAATAACTAGGGATAAAATATTTATAAGGGAAACAACTGATCACTTTTTCTCCAACTTTTTATTGTTGTTTAAGTAAATATGGTGGTCATCAACTGCAAGAGTTACATTTAACTTGGGTAATAGAATCAAAAATTCATGATCAATTTCACCAAGATAAGTCAACCATTTTTATTTTCTCCAGAAAATATAATTTTAAAATAAACGTGAATATAAAAATGTAGCTTAGAATTTTGTATGCATTTATGAATCTGGTAATTATATACTAGGTAACTATAAATTCCCGAATATACATTTACGAACAAGCATCGTTATTTTATAAATTTTCAGACATGATTTATTCCCTCTGTGAACATGAAAATCAATGCAGTTACATCATTTGATTTTAATGTGGTTCTTAAATGAAATGCTGTTAACAATTATAGCAATCTGTTCTAATAACTCTTCCACTTTTTGACCTCTGAAATTACTTTATAACACAATCATTCTAAATGCTCCTTGGGTCCAACCATTTATAGAAATTAACATAGCAATTACCAGTCACACACATGGGACAGCTATTTAGGTGCCAGTTTCAAGATGGTAAACTAGATAATGCAGCAGTACCATCTGCAACATTTCACATTATCAAGTGCTTCTACTTTATCAGGCGGATTATTATTGGGAAGTTCTTTACTATCATTACATATAATGTATACTCCATTGGGCAATTGACGATAGACTGGTGTTTTAATCACAAACAGTTATAATTAAAATGACACATATTAATGCTAATATGATAGCAATTATGAAGTGCAAGTAATCTGGTGCAAATGTTACTGTTACTATCTGTGTCAATTGTTATTGGTTATTAATGTGTAAAACTATAGAAAATACTGTCATATGAATTTGATCTTTATCCTGTTGCGAAATTTGGAAATCCACATCTCATATTCCAGTCATACATTAACCAAATGGTAGCAGTTCATCATCTATTAGCTACTAATTGCCTAAAAGAGTATATATTTGAAAGCAGATGAATCAAAGCATTTTATTGTAGACATTTCACAACTTTTCATTAATGTAGTAGTAAGCATTATATTTTGTTACCTGGATTGTTCTATGATGAATATATACTACGGCGAGAAAAATAATGGTGCACAACTACACTTTAGATGCCTAGGTATGTCATGGTGTCAGAAAGTTGAAGTAACATATTTAGGACACACACATTGCAATTACTAAACATTGACACATGACTCATTTGCAGTTTAGTAAATAACCCCTTCCAAAATGTATACTCTAAAAAGTTTTTTTTCTCTTTCTTCTTCTCCCTCACCCCCTAATTTTCTTCTCTCAGTTAACAAAATATTCAAATCAATTAAGTTTATTTATCAGATGGAAACATGCAGGGTTTTTCTCTAAACAACAGATTTTGTCCAGATGGACAAAATCTGGTGAAAATGACCAAATTCCGACGTCAATGATAAGTCTCATATTTACTTAAGTCAGAATTCAGTTAGCCTGAGGAAATCTGCAGCAATTGCCTGAATGTATTTGGAGTTCAGATTAAAATCAATGCTTTCCCATCCAAATCCTATCCTATATAAAATATAGCATACAGAAGATTCACAAGAAACCGATTTTAAAACTGAATAGGGACCGAATGCATCCAGCAGGATGCACATTCGCAAAATATTGTTCACTTGTTTTCATGCAAGCAATTTATAATTGTAAGTACTATTTGCCCACTGGCAGCACTAGCAGTCAGCAAGCCAATAGGTTAATAACCCTTGGCAATGCAGGTGTTAACTAAATGGAAGCTGGCCAGTGCTTTACTAGTTAGCCACCACATTAAAAGATAGAGAATAGAGTCAGCGCTAATATATTGGAGAGAGATACAAGAGGCAGCAATCCCAAACAAGGACTCCCTCAAGTGACCTTGGGATAAATACAAAAAACAATCAAATAGAAGGATGGGACTGCGCCAATAGACAGAAATGAAAAGTCCTTATTAAAATATGGAAATAAAGTCCAAATGTAATAAAAAAACTTGGTATTATGTTCGTCTCTGTAGTTTTGTTCCTTCCTGGTATATGAAGGAGGGTGATGAATGATGAGGTGGTGTGGAGTGATCCAACGGGTATCCAAATGAAAAAGAAGAGGTAATACTCACTTTTAGTA